TGACTCTCTCTGTGTATTATGCCCCCTCACAGTCCAAGCCCTCCTGTAATGGCCCTTCTCAAACCAGATTTCCCCCCCCAACAACCACAGAGAGGGCAACCACAGCAGGACTCTGAGAGTGAGAAACTCTACTCATCCAGCTGCACAGGCAGTGTATCAGACAGATTCTCTGTGGGTGCTGGGGGTAACCGTCTCTGGGGAAATATTTACTTGCATACATACAGTACCGTGCAAAATTCAGAAAGAACCCTTCATTTATTTAATTTCCAGTCAAAACTGCCATAAAGTACAAGTTAATTCTTTTTTAGATTCAGGAAAAAAGAAGACAATAACTTTTGTAGCAAACTACACAGAACCATCAACGCAGAACAACTATCCATCCATCCATCTTCTAGGCTGCTTATACTTACAGGTCATGAAGGGCGCTGGAGCCTATCCCAGAGTTCACAGGGAAGAAGGCAGGAAACATCCAGGACAGGCCAGTTCATCGCAGGGCACAGAACAAATAAATAAAATGTAAATTTTTTTGATTACAGCTTTCATTCTTTTCAGGAGACTCGCTTTCAGTTTCTCAACGTTTCTTAGAAGATGCATTTTTGCAAGTAATCCCAATTATAATTTTAGACTCATCAGTCCATAAAACTTCAGTCCACATCTCAGATGTCCAGTTTCAGTGTTCTTGTGCAAAGTTTCTTCTGTTTTGTCTGTGTCTCCTTTTCTCAGTGAGGTTCTTCTTGACAGCTACACATCCTTTCAGACCCACAGCGCTGAGTCGTCTTCTCACAGTGGAAGGATGGACAGAAACACCTGTGGATGTTTTCAGATCTGAAGCAGCTTGATTTTCTCCTCTCTCAAAGATGAAAGCTTTAAGTGCTGTTTATCTGATGGGGACAGATTTGGTGGTCTGCCAGGTCTTGCAGGTGGTTGTTAGGGGTCTCTTTTAATCTGTATCTTTTAATCATCTTTTGGGAAACTTCTGTTTTTTTCACTCCTTTTCTCTTCCTTATGCAAGTGCATTTCTTACATGTAATCTCTTCAGAAAAATGAATGACTTGTTGCTGTTTTGACTGGAAATTAAATAAACAAAGGGTTTCTGACTTTTGCACAGTAGTGTATTTTCACACACATGCATGCACGTGACACGTACACAGACATATTCATCCAATTACACTGACACACTTACTGCAATTTATTATGTGTGATTGTTTGTTTTTATTTTAAATATTTAATCAATATTTCATATCTGGCCTGCCCCAGTTTCTTTCACAAACGCTTCACGGTTTATCTGTTTCCCTTTATGTTGTGTGACTTTGTATATGTATTATTCTTACTTGTCCTCACTTTAATAATACAATAATAATAATAATAAGATGAAGAAGAAGAAAAAGAAGAAGAGGCTTTTAATTGCATTATCAAGGTGTTACAGCGAGGTGGTTGAAGCAGAAACAGTGCTTAGATAAGAAAAGTGTTTTTCTCATTAACACAAGGAAATATGAAACTCAGAAAAAACCCACTCAAACCAAACCAGACAATCGAGACGAAAAACCAAACCAGAGATAAAAACAAAAGGAAGTTTGAGCTGCTCAGAGCCAATAAAAAATGCAAAACACAGCTTTCTATGTAACACAAGTGGGGCAGTTGAGATGAGTGGTGAGATGCAAATAGTAAGAAAGGCAGCAATCATGGGGGGAGATAGAGACCGGCCGCAGCCACGCAGCGCACAGAACACTGGCTGTGTGGAGGTCATTTGTTAATCAAAGCGTACCGTTCCACTTTCCTTTGTTCATTCAGTTTTCAGGGAAATGAGAGAAAGGAGGAATAGCTGAAGCAGAACTGTCCCAGCAGGAGCCTCTGTTAGCCAGCCAGACAGAAATAGCTACACCTGAGGGGACGAACGCAGCAACTTCAACATCAGCTGCTCACTGCCTTTCCTGAATGAGGAATAACACGTAGATCTGACATGCACTGACACTGCTCTACCCATGTACTTGTATTAACATCTCATTACAATGAACACCTACAAAAAACAGTGAATTACATACACATCCACTGGAAAAAGTAGCAAGATTTGATTCTAATGAGATCCAAATTAGTTCCACATGAATAAAACATATTTCATCAACACTTATTGCAAAAGTACATGAACTGAAAGACAAGATTATGTTGATGTAATACATTTTATTCACGTGGACATATAATAGTCATATATACGTTTGAACACCACCGGTCAAATCACATGTTCTGTTTAAGTGAAAATAAGTTAACAAATCATCTACAGGAAACAAACTTAAGTATGGCATTGTTCTACAAATTCGAGCGCACAATGTCTATTTATTTGCTTTTGCTCATTTACATATTGAAAAAACATGAAATATTAATATATGAATAAATAAATATTACTTTAGCACAGACCACATTTTATGTTCTATGATAAATTCGTCAAATCAACTGTAACTGCGATTCGTGCAGTGTGTTCTCTTTACAGGATGTGATCTTCACACAGAAAATCAACATACATGTCATTTGACCGGGGTGCCTAAACTTTTGCATACGACTGGATATATGATTGTATGCTATAAACGGCTCAAAAAGGACAGACGGCACTACCAGGAGTTGTAATGCAGTCGCAGGTGAAATCAAAACAATGATAAAACAAAGATTACTACACCCTAAACATAGTAACTGGAGCAACCAAATTGGTCACATTTTGCATGTGTGCAGATAACAGGGGGCTGTTTCCTCCAAGGCTTTTGAACAATGTAACGTTTGGGAAGAGACTTTTTTTCCAGTGTTCATGACGAAACCTCAACGAGATCAGTTCATGGTCCAGTCTTGCCATTACTGGGCTGGAGGGAGATTGCTTGAGTGTCCTTGCTAGACTGGTTATAGTAGAGGCCAATACACAATTACAGTTTGGAGGTAAAAATAACACTAATAAGCCTACAACTTTGTGAGCGTTCAGGTGCTTCAAGTACATTGCATGTGAAGGACATAATGGCCCTATCAAGGACATTTGTTGTACTTTAATTTGTGTACAGTTAAAATGTGCACTACAATGCAGCAGCCCATGTTTGCATTCAGCATGTAAGAAAACATGAACTCCAAACTCGAATCTGTTTCTGTCCTTTACATCCTAACTGAATATTAAATACAAAAATAGAATACACACTATATGGACAAAAGTATTTTAAAGGGACACCTACACATCACACCCATAGGGGCTTTTATGAATCCCACTCTAAATCCACAGACATTAATATGGAGTTGGTCCCATTTGTAGCTCTAACAGCTTCCACTCTTCTGGGAAGCTTACTTCAAGATTTTGGAGAGTTTGTGGGAATTTTGGCCCATTTGTCCAGAAGAGCATTTGTGAGGTCAGACACTGACGTTGGACGAGAGGGCCTGGCTCACAATCTCTGTTCTAGTTCAACCCAAAGGTGTTTGATGGTATTGAGGTCAGGGCTCTGTGAGGGTCAGTCAAGTTCTTCCACACCAAACTCACCCAGCTGTGCCTTTAAGGATGCTGCTTTGTGCCCTGGGGCTCAGTCATGCTGGAACTGAAAAGGTTCTTCCCCAAACTGTTCCCACGAAGTGGAAAGCATACAATCGTCCAAAATGTCTTGGTCCACTGAAGCATTAAGATTTCACTTCACTGGAACTAAGGGGCCTTGGCCAGTCTCTGAAAAACAACCCCACACCATAATCCCCCCTCCACCGAACTTTACAGCTGCCACAATGCAGTCAGTCAGGTAATGTTTTCCTGGCATTCGCCAAACCCAGACTCATCCGTCAGACTGCCAGACAGAGAAGTGTGATTCATCACTCCACAGAATACATTTCCACTGCTCCAGAGGCCAGTGGTAGTGCTTTACACCACTCCGTCTGACACTTGACATTGTGCTTGGTGAAGAAAGGCTTGCATACATGCCATGAAGCTCCTGGTGTACAGTTTTTGTGCTGCTGTTAAAGCCAGAGGAGGTTTGGAGCTCTGCAGTTACTGGGTCAGCAGGGTGTTGGAGACTTTTATGCACTATGCTCCTCAGCACTCGGTGCCCGGCTCTGTAACTTTATGTGGTCTGTCACTTCGTGGCAGAGTTGCTGTGGTTCCTAAACGCTTCCACTTTTCAGTAATACCACTCACAGTTGATCGTGGAATATCTAGGAGGGAAGTAAATTCGCAAGTTGACTGGTTGCAATGGTGGCATCCTCTTACAAAACCATGCTCGAGTTCAGTGATCGCTTTAGAACGACCCATTCTTTCACAAAAGTTTGTACAGACAGGCTGCATGGCTAGGTGCTTGATTTTACACACCTGCGGCAATGAGACTGAATGAAACACCTGAATTCAATGATTAAGATGTGTGTCCCAATACATTTGTCCTCATAGTGTATTTAAAAGAAGCTGATTTCATACAAGACACAATCTCAGAAGGATTACAGCATTAAAGCAGACTTCCACTAATTTTTCAAAATGTATGCACAATTCAATGGTTGAGATGTCATTCAGAGAGGTTTGTTGTGAAACTATCTATTTTATTCACTACTCAAAATGATCAGTGAGCCTTTGTGTCTTGAGGGTTTTTATATGTAATGTTGATAATGGTAAAGTCTGGAAAAAGTACATTTTCTCTGGGGACTATCTTGCCTTACAACACCATCTAGGCATCTCTCTTCCATGAATAGATGTGAAACGATATAATTAGACCAAAAGTAACTTCCACAAAACAATATCTCAAAATGTCCGTTTTATGTTATATTTATCTGTGAGGAAGCTTTTTAAGAGCTTCAGACGTCTGGTCTACCATCAACACCATGCTGAACCATTCTGACTAAGCTCCTCTGGAATGCAGCATTTCACATCAAACCACTCTGAATGACTTTGTTCACATCTTAACCATTTAATTAGGCAAACATTTTGAATGCAGAGACTTTGAGGAAATAAAAACACTTGAGTACGCAAAAATCATTTAAAAACCACATGTTCTAGCAACGTGGGATACAAGCATAAACCAACGTTTTGATGAAAAGATCTGAAATATTTGCTGAATCTGTTCAGCGTTTTGTTGTTCAAACCAAACACAGCATGGTCACTGCCCAGCAGCTGGGAAACTCAGAACTGGACAGTTCTTAGGTACAGCCCGAAGACTGACCTCTTAAAAGTTTCATTCATAAACTCTTAAGTCTCCAATCTTGTGATAAACGTACACAGCATTGTTGTTGCAGAAAACAAAACGCTTTATTTCAACACCTCATTTCAACTGTGAAGCATGGTGGAGGGAGTGTAACACTGTGACGGCTTGCAATCTGATGAAATAATGCACTCCAAGTTTTACAAGAATATTCTAGAGAATCTGAGGATATCTGTCCCAATGATGCAGGTAGATCAAGAAAGGGAACACAAAATTGTATGTCAGCTGAAACTTCTCCTCTACAGATGAACAGGCCAAAACATCTGTGCAGGATCATCAACCACAAAGAGCATTCAGTCAAGGTCAGTAAAGGAGGTACCGCTAGTTCATATACATTTTCCATCAAATACAACTGTTTGAACAATTTAATAAGGATACAGCAATGAAAAATGTTAATGTCGCTACTGCTTCATTAGACTGCATTTGTTTGTTATGACTTAGGATCAGACTGCATTTAACAAGCCAGTTTTGCAGAAATCCATAATTGCTGTTGGCATCACTCTAGTTCTGTTCTTGGCCTTCGTCCAACCATCAAAAAGAAAATTACTGTTACTGTGATAGCACAAAAGTCACAGTTTCAAGTGGGTCCTGCCCACGCACAGGTGAATGCACAGGTGAATTTCATTTCCAGCTAAACAAATTAACTGATCCCATGTATTACCATCAACAGGACCAGCATATCAAACCCAATTCAAATGAGCAGTTCTAAGACACCCCACCATATTCAAATTTGTTTAAAAATAAGAGTATCAAGTTTAAAGCCAAGATTCAGGATGGGCCTAGACTAAACAACTCTGCATACGCTGAATCTCAAATGAAAAAAGAATGCTGTTATCTACAACTCAGAATATTAGCTCCGATAAAAATAAATACAAATAGGAGAAATACCTTTAGATATCACTCAACTGCAGTTACACTCATATTTCAATTTTAAATAGAGAATACTAATTCGAAAGGCAGTGACATAAAGTGAGCTTTAGAAAACATAGTTCCAGGTCTAATATCTGAAAATCTAAAAATTGGCTGAACCACGTTCAAAGATGTTATTAAATATCATTTCAAACATACATCAACCGGCCATTTCACTCTTTGGCCATTTTATCAGCTTCACTTACCATATAGGAGTTCTGTAGGGCTAACAAAGTATGCAGAGAAACAGATGGACTACAATCTGTAATCACAGAACTACAAAGTGCTCCTATATGGTAAATGGAGCTGATAAAATGGACGAGTATAGAAACAAGGAGGTGTACTTAAAGTGGCCGGTCAGTGTGTTAGATCACACACATCAAATTCAATATTGATACACCAAGTTACTGAAACTTATTTTGGTGTTCAGAGAACAATTTTTGACTATAATGCTGCTTAGCAACCACAATCTTCTGTTAACAAACTACATTATATTTATGGATGCATTTATATTTATGGATGCATGATGGAACTGGCCAAGATCGAAATTGGCATGCTTGTCTTTATTTTTTTGCAATTTTATGACATAATGAATAACGAGGCAGGTAAGTGCACTGTATTTAAATGCTGCTGCTACACCTGCACCAGCTGTTATATCATAATTGTGCATAATTCATTGTGCTAAATAGCCTGGTCGCTCTTACTTTCAACGCAGCACTTTGAGTTCATATTTAAATGAACAAAAGAGCAGATATGTTCACATTTATATTGCAACTTTGGCTTTTATAAAGCACTGGAAATGTGACCACACAATGTGAGCTTCAAAATAAAAATCAGCCACTGGTCAATTTGACTGTAAAGAAATTGGAATTAGCCATTAAATTCATTCAATCCCTAGAATTATTATCCATAAAATGTTTATTATTTATTGAGCACTGATGTATTCTATTATTTTGTATTAGCCATTTTCTAAATCAATAAGCCATTCTGGGCCTTTTCTATTACATGTTAACTGTGAAATCACTAACACATCTCATGGCCTATTGATTTCTGAAGCTCCTTCTGCCACCTGCCACTGTGCAAGAAAGCCACTTCCTAAGTGCTGTTCAATGAACTAGCCAGCCTTACAAACATCCCCACGCATGCCTTTGGATCAGGCTGGGGTCCACCAAGCTCTCATGTAAAGGTCGATCCACTGAGAACTCAAAGGGGGGCTGCAGTCGCTGGCGGGAATGTTTCCCCCCACGCTGAGGGATAGGCAGCTCTGAGTGATGGGCTGGGAGAGGGTCTGTAAAGAAGTACGGATGGAGTAAAGCCTGAAGGAAGAGAGAGAAAGAAAAACAGAAAGAAATTAGAAAGAAAAGAAGCTGGTCTACTACAGCTACGATGAGGGTCATAATACAAGATAACGCTGGCTCTATCTCTGTGGTTACGACACAATTTAATGTTTTTACACACACTGAAGAGAGCCACGTGGCTAAGATTTGCGTGAGCAGACCTGTCTGGCACTAATCCTCTGCTTGGAGGGATACACGAGAAATTTCTTCAGCAAGTCAACGGCCTGAGGTGACGTGTCAGGCACAATCTCCTCCAGAGGAATCGGTGGGTTCTCTTTAAAGGTGATCTTATTGTAATCTGGCAATTCTGTGATCTCCTGTAGATGACAGACTGGTTAGAGAGTTCATAATCAAGTGAAATGCATTTTTTGCATTTAAAGATTTGCATTTAAAAAACTTTCACTCTTGTGGTGAACCTTGACTGTTAATGGACAACAGCTGTAATTACTACTTATGCTGCTCCAACATCTCTTTTCAACAAAAGAAAAAAGTCATTATAAACTATATATTTAAAACAGAATGTAACAAGAATCAAGCTGAATATTTACCAAAAATGAATCTTTGAAGCAACAGACTCTAATCTTACAACCCATTTCTTTTTCATTTTTTAAATAAATATATGCCCATTTTGAATTGAAGTGATGCCAGGAACATGTTTCAAAAAAGTTTGGGATGGGGCCACAAAAGACACAGGCAAATACTGCAACAATTTAAGAAAAAAGATTCTCAATGTAAAACAGCAAAACATTTGGGGATTTCATCATCTATGGTACATAATATCATTAAAAGATTCAGAGAATCCAGAGAAATCACTGTATGAAAGGGACAAGCCCGAAAACAAATATTGGTTGGCCATGACCCTGCAAAAACAGACACGATTCTGTAGTGGAAATCACTGCACGGGCCCAGGAACACTTCTGAAAACCACAGTATGTGAACACAGTGCATCACTGCATCCACAAATGCAAGTTAAAAACTCCATCATGCAAAGAAGAAACCATATATAAATAAGATCCAGAAACACCGCTGCCTTCTCTGGGCCCAAGCTCATTTAAGATGGACTGAGGTGAAGTGGAAAAGTGTCCTGTGGTGCGAAGAATAAAAATTTTAAAGTCTTTTTGGAAATCATGGACACCGTGTCTTCCGGGCTAAAGAGGAGAGGGACCATCTGGCTTGTCATCAGCACACAGTTCAAAATCCTGTGGGTGGTATAGAATAGTGGGTAACACCTCTACCTTCTATGCCTACCTGTGTAAAAATGATCAAATTGTAAGTCGCTCTGGATAAGAGCTTCTGCCAAATGTAAAAGTAAAAGCCAGCATCCGTTACGGAATGCAGGTGCATTAGTGCACATGACTTAGGTGACATGCACATCTACAATGGCACCATTAATGCTGAACGATATACACAGGTTATGGAGCAACCGAGCTGCCATCCAGACATAGTCCTTTTCAGGGAAGGTCTTGCTTATTTCAACAAGACAAAGACAAACCACATTCTGCACATTTTACATTAGCATGGCTTCGTAGTAAAAGAGCCCAGATGCTAAAGTCCAGATCCACTGAAAACATTTGATGCATTATGAAATTAAAAATGCAACAAAGGAGACCGTGAACTAATGAGAAGTCCTATAACAAGCAAGAACGGGAAAACATTTCACTTTCAAATCTACAGCAATTGGTCTCCTCAATTCTCAAACGCTTACAAAGTGTTGTTAAAAGAAGAGGTGATGCAACACAGTGGTAAACATGTCCCTGTCCCAATTTTTTTTTAATGTGTTGCTGGCATCAAATTCAAAATGGGCTAATATTTTTTAAAAAATTGAAAAATACATTTTGTACAGCATCTTGCATTAACCTACGTCCTGGGTGATCTGTTCAAAAGTGGCACTATGTACAGTTGTGAAATGGGGTCCAAAGAATTACTCACACCAATTTTGGATGTCATTTTTGAAGTGTGAAAGCTAAAAATTCTTGACTGTGTCTGATCTGGACAATGAAATCCAATCACTAACACTAACAATATTTTATCATACGTGCAGTATGTGAAACAATGAATAAATATTATTGTAGTATTTTACATGTGGCATAGTCTCTGCAACTTACCTGTCTGTTCCAACTAAATATTGTGATGCATATTGTGAAAAAAATTGAATTTTTTTTGCCATATTATCCACTCCTACTGATCACAAGTGGTCACATCGAGACACATGCAAAAAATGCCAGGTGTATACAACTATGTGACTCACTGTCCATTTCTGATCAGATCATTCAAGACAGATGTTAACTGAAGTGTGAAGAGGGCCTAAACTTTTTACTCTGCCGACAACAGTACTCCTGATAAAGTAAGTTAATACTCCGGTTAATCATTTTTCTGGAGAAACACAAAGTTGAACCCACACCTGCTCTTTGTGGACAAAATCACAGTGTACTGCAAATCTAAAACTGGTTCCCAAGCTCAGTCCTGGAGATGTCTAAACAGAACTGTTTTATGTTTTGCTTGCTCAAACAACCCTGATTAAACTCCTTAGGAGCAGGGAACAGAAAAAACAGTGCGGTATTGGGGTCCTACAGGAGTGGGACCAAGACTGGATTTTAACAGTGACTGCACAGCTCACCGGCCACACTTTCTGGTTGGGAGTTCCCAGGACCCGGAGCACACAGCACAGCTGCTCGATGTCATTCTCTCCAGGAAACAGAGGAGAGTTATTTAACAGCTCTCCAAAAATACAGCCCACTGCCCTGCAACAACCAACCGCCAAACTCTAGGTAAGCAGTTAACAACAAACAGGACCTCATCACTAACTCGCTAACATCAACCGCATTTAACTAACAGACTGTTCAACAGCTAAAACTGCTGCCATCTAGTGTGGACTTTTGAGAAGACAGGATGACAAAATCAACCAAATACAGAGCATCTACCAAGATCTACGCTTCACCTGTAAACTACTAAGACTGGACTTCTGTAATAAATCAATATTCCTTTTCTTAATAATTTTAAATTAACTAGCTTATCTGGAGGACAGAATAACAAAATGTGAAGTTCTTATGCAGCATACCAGAGATCCACGCCTTCATCATATTTCCGAGCACCATACAGAAGCTCTGGAGCTCTGTACCATCTGAAAAACAGCAGAAAAAAAATCTCTCACATGAAGGCACATCTAAGATTTTCTTATAGGATTCAGCCTTGAATTTCTTTTTAGTGACATTTAAACATTAAATGAGCATTGACATTTACCAACATAGTAGCTTTTAATCCCTTAAACGGCAAGGACCTGATGGTGGGGCCGATTATTATTATTATGTACTTCTAAAACTTAAGAATAACTCAGCCAGTTTGCACTGTAGTTGATGTAGCGATACAATACTACGACTTAAAAAGGAATAAGCCTGAGATTAAAAGGGGTTAAATGTTTAGCGTCAATATTGCTCATCAGTTTTTTTTGTTTGATTTTGTCTTCTTATTGACTTTCAAGTTATCATCTTAAACTTTAAGACCCATTTTGATATATTAAAATCTGGCTTTGCTGATTTACACACTGGGAGATAGCTCTACAAACATGACAATTTGGTTGGAAAAGGAAAACACACATGCATTCCTGTGTGACTCCAGACCATTTAAATCAACAGAAAGTACTAATTATTCGGTTTAAGGTTAAGAAAGCTCAAATCGTCCTGTTAAACAGACCAATTTCTCACCTTGTTGCTACCTGGTGACTGTAAAGCCTCTCTCCTTCATTGGAAAAAAGCCTTGCCAGGCCAAAGTCAGCAATCTTCAAGTGACCTGTAGAGCTGATGAGAAGGTTTGCAGGCTTGAGATCCTTCGAAAGAAAATCAGAATGATAAATGGTAAAACAGTGATAAATCCAAAAATTATATGTTTTTTCTAGGTAATGTTTACCCTTCAATGATCTACACGTACCTTTCTTTCATTAATGTATATTTAAAAGATACATTCTAGGCCAAAATCCTACCTTAAAACCATCATAAAACACTGGGCTTCATGCGCCAACCGTTATTAAGAGGCAATTTCTTCTTAAACACACAGTTTTCATGAAGATTCTGACATTCTCAAACGTTTTCTTATTTGGGATTTGTTCTTAGGTAAGAACAGAATCTACACACACTCAAGAGCACAAAGGTGCAAATACTTCTGCGGTTTAAGAACACGTCATGGATCTGACAGACTTTTTCTTATATCTCAAGAATAAATTTAAGAAAAAAAATTAGGAAGATATCAGTGAACAAGGCCCAATGTCTCCGGCATCAGGCACCATCTTCATAACAATTCCATACAATAACTGTGTGTGCTAGCTTTTACAGGCTTTGACTGTAGGCTTCTATCAGCAACTTACTCAGCAGGTTTCTGTACCATACCTCATTTTATATGAAACTACTCTGAATAGCATCGTTTACATCTTAACAATTGAATAATTTAGATTTTTTCAACCTGTGGAATTTCCCTTTACTTCTAAACCCTCTCCTCCATTCTGACTGGGAGCACATTTACATTTAAATCCGCACAGCCTCCAGTGACACATAAAAAAATGAGAACTGAACCTTATTATATCCTATTAACAGCCACCTACCCTGTGCATGATGGAGTTCTCATGACAGAACGCCACCCCTTTGAGCAGCATCATCATGTATCCTTTGACCTGAGACTCAGTCAGGGGCCTCTGTGAGTTCCTAATGACCTCTGATAGATCCGACAGCATATATTCAAAGACCAGCACGAAGCCTGTGCCATGGGGGAAAACGTCCTTCAGCTTTACGACCTGAGGGAGGAAACACATCACAAATTAGGCAAGTAAAGTCAGAAAAGGACAAGGACCAAATAAAGTCATTGATTACGCCATGAAGCAAACTTACATACTGATTATCTTCAATCTCCTGAAGAGCTTTAATTTCTCTTAGAGCTTGGTTAGGAATCCCATCTTCCAGCTTTCGAAGGGCAACTTTCTTCAAAGCCACCGTCTCTCCAGTCTAGAGAGAAAAAAGGAAAATTAAAATAAAAGTGCAGTGTGGGAACCAAAGCATACAGATTTAGAAAGAGCCCCTGTCCACTTTGCCATTGTCCCTTCAGAGAGACCTGCTTGGGTTCCTTTTTTCTGGAGGACCTGGGTTCATCCAGAGACAGAGCGAAGAGAAGCGAAATACAAGACGATGTCGCTGCCTGAACAACACACGTCGATGCGAATTTAGGAACGTTTCATCTCGTGTTTCCGAAATCACGATGCTTTATCGACATTTTAGCATTGAATACTCCTGAATATGCCTTGAAAGCTTTGATAACACACCAACAAGCTAAATATTGGGATTAGTAACAGTTAGAGACCTCTCAGAAAACCAAGGAACCCATACTCTGCCGCTAGAAGGACAACAACGACCAGGCTGAAGTTGGCTTCCTATTCGAATTGTCCCGTTCCACCTTAAATGGTGCAGCAGGTAACTGCCGCAACAAGAAGCTGAATTCAGCTTTGTACAACACTGCTAAGCTAAACCAGCGAGTGTAGTTTTTTCAGTTAACGTTACGCTATTGCGGTCTTTACCTCAATGTGTTTGGCTTTAAAAACAATTCCATGGGCGCCTTCGCCGATTCTACCGAGAATGCTGTACTGATCCATGACACCAACTAGCGTTACACTGTTAACTCAAACGTAGCTAGTAAACATATTTCGCCAGCTGTCGGTAACGTCAAATGAGTAATCCAACTACAAACTTAAAATGAACACATAAATAATATAACAGATCAATTCTAGGTGATAACTGTATGTACGAACGTGTTGACGCGACGCCTCCGACAACAAGAAGCGATAAAAACCGCTACTTAGCTTTAAGCTAACTAGTCGCCTCATCGCTGTTTCCATGGATACCCAAGCAAGAACCTACGGGAAGCCCGACGGCTCACATGGCTTCGCCTTTCGCGGTATGTACTTTGGAAAAAATCTCCGCTGCGTTAACCTAACGCGTTTGTTTATGTAGCCCCCGAGGCAAAGGTGGAGATACCCAGTCCTGGAGGACCAGGTTCCTCCTCAGGTGCAACTGATTAAGCTGATCAGGTAATATATCAGGATTAGTTGGCCTGCTAGAGCGGGGAAATCACCGAACTGTGCTGGACTGCCGCCCTCGGGTGACATGGTGGATTTTATTTTATCAAGGAGTGGCCACGATTTACTATATTGAGGGCCCCAGTTATGAGAAACGTAACTTTTGCCCTCACTATCGTGATTTGAAGCCACGCCATTATAAAATGATCACCACCTCACCTTCGGGGCTCCCCAAGTATTCGAGTCGTTTCTAACGTTATTTATTATACTTGAATACCGTTGTGTTTATTGTTCATAATAAATTGTTCATTTATTTTCCTGCTGGTCTTTTTAGCTCGGTACAAAACCGCGAGAAACAAAGAGCAACAGGACACACGAATGAACACACAGACAGATTTCCATTACTTTTATATGTCAAGACACAAAAGCAATCAATAGATGACAACATGTAAAAACATTTGTTACAGATATTTATATAAAAAAGGCAGAGTTGTTTTTTTTTTGTTTGTTTGTTTGTTTTACTTCTTGCTACGTGAAAGAACTAATTTACAACCGAGTTCAAACGCTGGCTGTGCCAAGAATCCATCATTCTCAATTTCCAACTTCCAGAAATGCAAACCAAATGTTCCTGTTTTCCATTCAGAGACTTTTCAGTCCACTTTGCTCTAAAAAAAAAAAAAATTTCTAGAAACTGTGGGGTCATATGCATAACATGTTGTAGAGCAAAAGTCCTGTTCTAGGATCAGATTTTGACTTTCAAATCCTACTGTAATAACCCGGTCCTGGATCAGCACCCTCACTCAGATTTACACATCTGTACCCTGCATCCCAAAAACATCGGCCAAGTCGAGAACGACCCCAAGAAAAATGGAAACGCCTCCAACATTTCCTCCACTATGAGCATCATCCCAGTTTTGCTTTTACCTCTACCGTCTCACAAAACAAGCATAGATTCACAGAAAGTAATTTTTTTTTTATACATAAACTATGGACTAGTGAAAGGTTAACAGGAAGAGAAAAATGAACCAAACGGGAACATAGGCGTTACTCCTGCAACAGCCTCGTTTAAATGTCCAACAATATACAAGGAGGGAGGAAACTAAAAAACACAAAACGCGAAAAAGCTGTTTTATTCAGTATTCTCAAGCTTGTTGTTGAGGGGTCGTCTGTCTCCAGAATGAGTACAAAAAGTCCACTTTGAAGTTCAATCTCTGAACCACCGTTTGAAATACTTAACATGGGATGTAAAAAATACTGTGGCACTCAGGACAAGCTGCCACGCAATCCCACAAGCACACGCAGACGACAGGAATGAGCTGGAAGCAAGTTTTAAAACTGCGCAGATGCACACGCACACAATAAGGGGGAAAAAGTTATGTTAAAAGAAAAAAAGGAAAAAAAGAAAAAAATGAAATACAAAAATAAACCACATACAGAGCTTTTGCATCACTGCTTACTATTTTTGGGATTTTTTTTCTTTTCCTCTTTCTTTATACAAGATGTACTTCGTTGCGATGCCAAAAAGTCATATGCCTCTCCATCTACAAGAATCGGAGTCCTTACATCTTCGGTACAAAATGGTGCAGTTCTTTAATCCGTCCCTCTCGGCAACGTATGAAGACACAGTGATGTAATAACGGGCTACTGAACTCAGACTGGATGTATAATTACAGATTTGTCTTTAAAATGAAGTCTTTTCCTCAGAAGCGTCACCAAGTGCTGTGTTGTGTTTTTTTTTCCCGTCTTTCAAAAGGTCTTCCAGGTGAAACTTCATTGTCTGCGTTCCCTCCGTTCAGTCTCCTTCCATCTTCTGTCTGTGCCCAACTGAAATATACAAACTTGCCAAAAACAGAAGGGGGGGAAAACGACTCACAGAAGAGCTAAGTTATTGTTTTTTTTCTTCTTTATCTATTGCTTGTTTTGAAATAAGCTAAAATAAAAACATGAAGGAAGGAAAGTATCTGAACTACAGAAACAATCAATACAGTTAACTTGACTAAATGCTGCCATTGGAAATTTGTCACACAAAATTGCCAGGAAAAGCAAAAGTATGTGCTTTTAACTTTTAACTGTTTGTCTGAAGAAGACACATTTACAACACAAAAAATGGAAAGATAAGGCGTCCATGGCACCAGAATGTTCAGTGATGACCAGGGGTAGGGCACAACTAGATTATCTTGATTTCTTTTTTCCTTTTTTGCTGCCATCTCATGTAGTAGTGAGTAGTGGGGGTGTGGCCTAGGAAGAGGGCATTCAGCAGGAAGAGGAGGAGTTCAGTCATGGGTCTTCATCTCAGGGGGGGGAAGAAGGGCATGGCAAGCTTTTTTCACTGGTCAGCTCGGGCCTTTTTTACACCAATACCTTTCCTGCAACAGAGAAGCAAAACAATCAGGACTTTTTTGTATGTCATTTATATATTTTTGAGTGATGTCAGTCATCTACCCTCTAGCAGCTACTCATACATGAAACTAAGACACAGCAGTGCAGACGAACATACAGACGACTACTGAAAACAATCATTGGGTGAAAGTATTAGGAAGAAATTATGGGACAGTTTACTGGGCAAGTTAGTTAATGGTGACACACCATTAGTTGATCCATGGTGGCACAATAGCAAGGAAACAAATAGTGTATAGGTCACAGTTCTCAAGGACGCTGGAAAAGCAGACGCCTTATGGGACCAGTTTGCACAAGAGGACCTTGTGGTTTGATGTGTGTTATTCAAGTTCTGTAATAATACAATGCAACTGTTCAGCAGCAGAACAACTACATCTTACATAAACTTAGAAAATGAATTCCATAAAAACTTCACAAAAGGCCAGGTTCATACTACAAGACGTAAATGGCACAAATTAAATTTTCTGCCTAAATGTGAAAGCTATGTTGAACAAAGACCATTGGTGTTCCTAGATGTGATTTATCAGATTCACACCCACTTCGTTTTTTTTAATAAATAAATCTCTTTTCCACAATGCACGCATACATTACTGTGGTCATGATCCAGCTACTCATACATGTACATGAACTAAAACGCAGCAGTGCAAATCAACACAGACTACCAAATAACAATGACTGGATAGAAGTGTTAGGAAGAAATTAACTAGATGTTGGTATTTTAATATCTGTAATACATTTGGCTTTTTCACATTCTCACCCTAGTCATGAATAACTGCCAATTTGTTCAGAGATTAAGGCACGTGCTGCGAGTTTGTTGAAGCTTTTTGTTTGTTTTTTGATTTCAAGAATGATTAAGTCTGAATACTTTCACAGGAACCAAAAACAGGCTGGGCTTGCAGGTTAGCGAAAACCATTCAAATCATGCTGCTACAGTGATTCTTGGGAGCACAGATCTCCCTCTGTTTGATTACAATCTAATGACATCACTGGTTCCACCCTATGTTGTTCTCCAAAATAGATTTGATAAAGGTATTTGTATTTTTTTTCAAAGCCTACAATTTGCATGGTTAAACTCACATGTGTACTCTACATTAGGAATATCATGGAGATACTCACACATCAGGAGATGAGACCGGTCTCTTTACTGCAGGTTTGGCAGCAGATCCATCCTTACTGGTTTCTGTAACACACCAATCACATTATTGGATTCCAAAATGCAGATCACTGGATACATTTAAGCAGAGTTATAAAACTCAAAAACTCTAATTTCTGGTTTTATTGTGCAAGACATGCTTGCATTTCCATTATTTGGCAAAAGCAGATGCTTTTACCGGTTTTACTTCAAAACTAAAATAAGTTTGGCAGGAGTTCTTCTTTGCCACATTCCCCACTTTTTTCCCTTGCTCACCTTGTAGCCACCTGACTTGCGTGGCAGGGCCATAGCCTTTCTCGTTGCGAGCTGCGATGCGGAAGATAATTGCAGGTTTGGTGGTGTAGTCAATGTGGGCATTGGACAGGCTGGAAGTCTGAACCAGACAAGAGGGATTGGGCCCACAGTACACACGCATGAAAGCTAGCTGCGCAGGCGCAGACGCTTTGGCCTCGGTTGTCTGCGAGCTCTGGATAGCCAGGTAGACTGAATACTCAATAATCTTCCCCGATGTTACTGATGGGGGCTCCCATGTGAGGTGAGCGCCGTCTGGGCTCTGAGGGACAAATCAGAACAAAATAAAAGTGCGATAGTGTGAAAGAGGAGAAGGAGGAAGGGAAAAAAAAAAAAAGAATATAAAGAGATAATAAAACAAAAAAAGGAGAGATTAACTACAAAGTTACACAAATAAATTACTTAAAATGCTGATATTGGTATTTCAGTTAGGAAGAAGCTACTTTCAGTGCAGCCATTCCTCCAACTTGCTTTCATCGCTAACTAGCATTTTAGCATTTTTGGGTAAAGTAGTCTGAAAAAAAGATAAGAGGACAGTGGTTCTCACCTTGCTGATTTTAATGGCACATGGTGCTCCAGGGAAACCAGGTAGACAGGTTTTGAAGGCTGACACTTCAGAGAAGGTTCCACGGCCACAAGCGTTAATACCAGCCACTCGGAACTTGTACGCTGTGCCAGGAGAAAGCTCCACTTTCTTCATTTGGCTGTAATCTGGTATGGTCCCAGAATCATCCTGCAATACAGCACACAGCAGAGCCATGTTAACACCCCACTTACCACCACTGCTGATGGACATATTGTATATATGTGAACAATATATATCGGACTAGTCTATTCCCACTGAGGAGTATACACGAACATATTCTGATTGAGCTACTAACACACAAGGCTACATGTAAACGTGGCTCTAAATTGATGTAAACAGGCTTTATTCCAAGCAGTTCTTGACCATTTCTGTTGGTCCTTTCAACACAACATTTTCATATATTTTCATCATCTGCCGGGCAGCTGCTATTTTCAAATAATGCAAAAAACTGAAAAAAAAAATGGACACAAGGTTTTGTTCTGCAGCCACTAATTACATTTTTACGATTTACAAGGCACCGTTTAACATTTAAGTATGACCAAAGAGATCTTACTCACATCAGTAACCTCCGAATCATCTGCTGGCATGTAATAATGTGTGACAACCATGTTGGTCACCTTGACAATTCCGACATCAAACCACTGATTTTCTTTCTTTACTGGTGGTTTCACAACTGCAGGGGGCGGTCCTTGCTTCTATTAACAATCAAAGAAATGGGAGCGAAAGAGAAGAAAGTTGACATCTTCGGCATATACTACAACACCTCACCTACATAATTTCAGAGATTCTGTAGTGAGCTCACCCCAGCTGCAGATTCTATGCCATTGGCCACCTCGGTAAGAGCAGTAGCTGCTTGCATCTTAGCAGGGCTAGCCACTGCCATTGGCTGGGATGGGGCAAATGTACTCGATGGAGCCAAAGCTGCAAGAACAAGCAAGTAATATAGGTCATGTAAGACAGTTTAGACTACTGAGAAGACTAACAAGTCACTTTACTATACCTAGTCATTAACTAAGATCTGTAAAATCAATTCTAATCAGGCTGGGAGTAGTGCTTTGTTTGATGTTTGTGACCCTGACCATTCTTTTCTCATCCAGCAATAAATGTGTGCTGCTGTGAACACAATGCAACTAAAAGTTACAACTGACAGTGACGTTAGCATTTTATGCAGCCTTATCAGTAACCTTAATGCAATTTGTCTGAGAGCCTCAGGATACATAACCAGCTGCAGCACGTCAGATAGAGGACTACATACTAGCCCTAATGTGTTATTATTGGTGATTATGGCTCACTCTCTGCAGTTGTGCTGGGAAGAAGTCGAGCCACAGCTCCGGTGACTACAGCAGCAGCAGTCATCTCGTGGCCATTGCTTTCGGACGTGGGGTCGTTTAGACTGTCTGCGGGGGCGAGGCCCTCGGTGGGCAGAGCTGTGGAACCTGAATCAGCCGCCAGCTGCTGGGCAGCGGCTGCTGCAGCCTGGGCCTCTTGCAGCTGTTGCTGCTGCTCGACGAGAGCAGCCAGCTCCTGCTGTGTCAGCACAATGGGGATGGTGGTTGACTGCTGACCATCCTGTCCAGCATCCCCTTCATCTGAGGGCGATATGAGAGAGCATGTGGGACAGTTAGATAGGGTAAGCGTTAAAAAAGCACAGATCAGTAATTCACTTGGAAAGATTTTTGCTGCTAGAGTTTAAGTATCAGATTACTCCTGTAACTTGGTATAGGTTTTATCTTAGCCTGCATTCACTCACTCAGCACAGCCTGTTGGGCTGCCTGCAGCACAGCCTGTATGGCGAGGGCCTGGGCCTCCTCTGTGGCTGCAGCCTGAGCAGCAGCTTCTGCTGCTGCAGTGACAGCCAGCTCCTCTGGGGTCAGTCCTGTCACCATCAATGTTGTGGGCTGTCCCTCAGCAGACATCAGCTCTTGGGGCAGTGCTAAAGCCTCCGAGTTTTGCCCGGCCAGACCCACGGCCTCTTCACCCTCTCCACCTTGCTCCATCTGCACATGCACATGAACAAACATGTAGATCACTGTACTAAGGTAACTGACATAAGCCTACTTTAAAGTTCATTAGACACCTAATAGTTCCAATAAGGCATTCATTCATTATTATATTAATATTACTGTATTATTTTATTATTACGTATATTATTCACAAATTCACAATGGTCTGGACATCAGGTAATTTGTACCATCTGTGTTTATTACGTGTGGTCGTCTGGGGAGTTCGCAATCAATATAAAGTTCATATATGCATGTAAATGTATATAAACACGTTTTATGAAGCGAAAAACAAATGTAAAAGATTATTGATGTTTTAGTTTAAAAGAATAAAAATAACCAACCTATTAATATAAAAAAAAACCCTTCCCCACCCCACAACGTACCTCGGCCTGTTCGCCTTGACCAGGCTGCGCTTCCATGGCTACATGCACCTGTAGCATGGTTCCTGCCTCACCGGAAGCACCCTGTTCAATAGCAACAACTCTGACGGTGCCCTCTTCACCCAGCTCGCCTTCAGTCTGCATGGGCTCCTCGCCCGTTGCCACTGCTTCCGAGTCACCCTGTTCCATCGCCTCTGCCTCACCTTCACCCGAGGCCTCCACTATGGCAGCAGAACCTGCCATGGATGAGATCTCCTGGAGAGGGCAGTAAAAGAGCCAACAGCATGAGGGTAGTATGATGCATCAGTGTGGTAGGGTAAGAACACCACTCCACAAGAGTAAACACCTAATTTTAGGGCATTATTTAATTAGACAATGTTTCCTAAGCCTAGTCCAGGGGTACCTTTCCACTGCAGATTTTAGTGTTCTCCCTTACCCCATCAGCAGTTCATAAGCTAGCTACCTTGGTGTTCTGCAGCATAGGTAAATACAAAACGTGCAGTGCAGGTGACAAAAGTTCAACTCCTGTACTGCAGAATTTGTATCCCTTTTGCACAAACAATCTGATTCAAATCAGTAGCTAAATCATCAAGTCTTCCGTGAGCAAAACACAGAGTGCTGTAGCATACAAAAAAAAAGCCAACAGTTCAAAGATGTCTGGAAACAATAATTGGAAACGGATCAAGCCTTACTGGGACAGAGGGCCCTGGGGTGGGTGTGGCCTGAGTCACCATGGTGACAGCTCTGCTCTGGATTGTAGGATTGGCAGGCTCTGTGGATGAAGTTGCCTCAACACTGGTGCCACTGTCTTCTTGTCCTTCAGCACTTTGTTGAGCTGCAAGAGTATTAGTCTCACTGAGCTGAACTTACTCCACAAACCTCAGACACTCTAAGCTCAAATAACTCAAAGAACTCTTAGTTACACCAAAGCTAAACCAATACAACATGAACATTCCTGTGCTGCTAGATTTTTACCTTTTAGCTTATACTATCTAGTTAACTAATCTTGGCTAAGAATTATCCCATCTCTTTCCTTATATGGCATTTTATATGTAAATTACACATGCCTGTGTCTTCGGCTGACTCCAGGCTGCTGGTGGCAGTAGTGGCTGTGTTGGTGGTTCCGGTCTCGTGAGTTTCGCAGGGTGGATTGGAACACACTCTTTGCACTGCGCCGTTTTGCACAGCTCCGATGGAGGATGAAGCCTGGGTGGGTGTGTTGGTGGTGCCGGTCTCGTGGGTCTCGCAGGGCGGGTTGGAACATACTCTCTGCACAGTGTTGGTCTGTCCGCTGCCCATACTTGAGGACGCCTGCGTGGGTGTGTTAGTAGTGCCCGTTTCATGTGTCTCACGGGGCGGGTTGGAACATACTCTCTGTACGGAGTTGGTCTGCCCACTGCCCATGCTCGAGGACGCCTGCGTGGGTGTGTTGGTAGTGCCCGTTTCATGTGTCTCACGGGGCGGGTTGGAACATACTCTCTGTACTGTGTTGGTCTGCCCACTGCCCATACTTGAGGACGCCTGCGTGGGTGTGTTGGTAGTGCCCGTTTCATGTGTCTCACGGGGCGGGTTGGAACATACTCTCTGTACTGTGTTGGTCTGCCCGCTGCCCATACTTGAGGACGCCTGCGTGGGTGTGTTGGTAGTGCCCGTTTCATGTGTCTCACGGGGCGGGTTGGAACATACTCTCTGTACTGTGTTGGTCTGCCCACTGCCCATGCTCGAGGACGCCTGTGTGGGTGTGTTAGTGGTTCCCGTCTCATGCGTCTCGCATGGAGGATTAGAACATACCGGAGACAGAAGTGTACTTCCAGGTGAGGTCATGGTGGACTGTTGGGACGCCGTACTGCTATTAACGACCCCCATTTCAAGGGAGCCCATGCTGCAGCTGGCAGTAGTGGCCGTGTTCGTGGTGCCTGTGTCATGGGTCTCTGACGGGGGATTGCTGCACACCTGCTGAACACGTCCCATGTTGGCCGAGGCCGTAGTTGTCGTGTTGGTGGTACCTGTCACATGCGTCTCACAGGGTGGGTTAGAACATATCTTGGCAGCAGCCACAGTGGGTGTGTTGGTGGTGCCAGTTTCATGAGTCTCGCAGGGTGGGTTGGAGCACACCAGAGTCACTTCACCTGTGGTCTCGCTGGCTTCTGCCCCCGTGGAGGAGGGCTGCTCAGAGGTGGGAGATGCCAGGATGGAGACAGGAAGATCCTGCACAGGTTGCGCCTCCACACCACTAGGGGTGCTAATTAGAGTCACCTGAGTTGGTTGCGCCGCTGCCTACAGAAGGAAAATTATTCATAATAAAACGAAAAGGAGAAATAATTAAGTGTATACTCCCTTGGTAAATATGCATTTTAATTCTTATTTTACAACAGACAATTTACATTAAATGATAACATCATATTAACTGTGGGGAAAATGTCTTTTGTAGGACCATCTCCCACTCCACTCCTGCTGAAATTGCACAGGACAGACAAAACTGTCCTTAAATAAGCAATCACAACACTTACAAATAAACAGGCCCATCGGCAAGACAACAGAAGGTGTGCATTACCTGCAGGGCCACAGAGGACGCAGTAGTCAGGCTTGTTTGAGCTGCGGACACTGTGATGGCTGTGGGGCTGATAACCTGACTGGATAGTGTCGCAATGTTACCCAGGGTGGTTATAGGAGTAGCCAGGCTAGCATTGGAAGTAACAACATTGCCCCCTGCCAGGCTGGTGGAGACCGTGCCGGTCACTGTGCCAAGAGTAGTTACTCCTACACCAAGAGAGGAAAACAAAACAGGACTATTCATAATTAATTCAATCACAAACCTTAAATTTCCAATGGGTCAGGTTCAACTGAAGACAAAAAATGTTTTTCCAATGCATGAGAAAACAACTTATTTGAATTCAATATATCTATATGCAAACTTTGTGATATTCTAACCTGTGGTGCCTTTGACTACTAGTGTGGTAACTGTGGGTTTGACTCCAGAAACAGCACCAGGAGAAACAAGACGCACGCCACCCATGGGCACAGTGCGCAGAATGGTGCCAGGTTGTCCAGGTGCCCCTTTCAAGACCACCTGGAGGAAGGAAAAGACGTTCCACGTGATCACAGATCATAAACATTTGATCTAATAAAAATCCTGTCTGTTTGTCAATAGTAGTCGCCTCACCTGTGTCACCCCCTGTTGGCCAGTTCCTGTGGTCAGTTTCGGTACAGCTGTAATGATTTTGCCTGGTGTGCCAGTGCCAGGTGTCACCATCTTGGTGGTGATGATGGTAATGGGAGATTTTAAGCCAGGGCTACCGGCAGCACCTGCCAGGTGCAAGACAAAAAGAGGGAGGTGATAAAACAATGTGCATACTTAAAAAAATAAATAAAAAAAATCAATCAATCAATCTGGACTTGCTAAGATTTACCAGAAGGCTTTTATAAAGATTTAGAAGCCAACAGCATCAAAGACTCCCACCGTCCCAACAAGGTTTGACAGGCAGAAATTTGTTTAAAACAAACCTGCAGCTCCCTGCTGGATGGCAGACATGGGGATGGTTTTGATGATGGTGGTGCCAGGTTTGGTGGCTGTGCTTGGGGAGACTCCACTGATGCCCAAGATAGTGGGTTTGGTGCCAGTGCCACCTGCCTGCGTGGTTGTGATGATAGTGGTGGGTTTGCCATCTGCAGAGGTGACCAGCTTCAGGATGGTGCCTGCAGGTAGAGGACCCTTTGTCTGGGAGAGACAAAGATGACATTGACCAACACAAAAAACATATCATGCACTTTCTTAAAACAAGCACTAAATAATTACTTATAGTTCAACACGACTGCCAAGTTCAAAGCAATAAGGCTTTAAGCCAAGTTAGCGCATCATTCTAAGCCCATTTTAAATGCAAAGATAAACCGATCTCTGTTGTTTTCTTAAAACCCCCTCCAACTGGAATAACAACTATAGGGTCTGTTGTGCTTACCTGTATGATCTGAGTGACAGGACTACTACCGGCTTGACCAGTTACTGCAGATGTCTGTACTGGTTTGGTCTGGACCACAGACATCACCTTCCCCAGGCTAGAGATCTGAGTACAGAAAGGGACCCAAAAAACAATTAATGCATTAATTGGAACAGAAAATAAAACAATATTCTGTCACTCTCAAAACAAAACATGAAGCAGAAAACAAACAAGCTCAGTGCTTGTTTTAATCATCCTTACCAGAGTTCCACCACTGCCAACAGTGAGGGGGCTCTTGACGAGGGTAATTGTTTTGGTGACACCACCAACCACTGTTGTGACCACCTGGGCCTGCTGGGCTACCGTCACAGTGCCCGATTTGTGAACAGTAATGACGGGGCGGGTTGGGGTATTGGGAGTAGAGATGGTTGATGTCCCAACCTGGGCAGCAGCTGTCTTCAGCATGCGGGTTGCTGGGTTGCTCACCTGGCAAAGAGACATTACATGACATTACACACAGGTACAAAAGACAGAGAATAGATGCATTTCCCCACTGAAGATCACACATAATGAGGCTTCTTCAGAAACTAGTACTTCAGTTTACACAACAGAGCCACTGACCCTTTACTAGCACATAACCTTTTCTGACACACATCAGTGCTTTAAGACATTGTTTAACATAAGGGTTCGTGAATGGCACTTACCATCACTGGCGAAGCCACTTTCACAGTAGCTGGTAGAGTTGTAGAGCCTGGAGTCACAGCAACAGTCTTGACTATGGTGGCTCCGGCTGGAACATTCAGCACAGTGGCCGCAGAGGAGGGCGGTATCTTTTGTGTAGCGGCGGCGGCTGCAGCCAGGGCAGCCATGCCACTCATCTGTGGGCTGCTGCCAATCGGCTGGAGAGGACAAGTGATAAAATGTCATTTAACAACGAAAACGACTAATAAGCAAGATGATGTTTTAAAAAAAAATTTATATTCAAGATGTCATTACACAAGGATCAAGATGAAAAATAAACTCTGCAGAACACTTCAAACGACACAGAACTAAATGAAATCAAACTACTGCTGAACACGCTGTAGTAGGCATACTTGGTGTACATGTTTCTGACACTCCATCGCTAGATGCTCACTCTATGCAGTGACAGATGGACAGACTGCAGTCAGAGGGAGATCTCGGTACAACTAATGCAATGATAGAGTTCTGTTAGCAGCCGATGCACACTGTACAAACTCAAACCACCGTCTGGTTGTCACAAAAAGAGGTAGGCTTGCCTAACTGTGACTTCTGTCCATTTGAAGTATACTGCTAACTTAAGCAGCAGTTTAAACTCTCTCATAATTAAGCCGATTTTAACATTGGTGCCTAATCAGAAATGAAATCAGTGACCACGTACTGTTCCCTGAGTGCTCTGCGCAGGGACAACCATACGGACTCCTGCAGGAAGTGATGTAACAGTGACTGGAGACTTCCCCACTTGATTGGCCTGACGTACAGTGACAATGGAGGTCCCAGCGGTCGACTGAGGTGCAGCCACCTTTAGAATGGCTGCAAAAGAATGGAGAGAAGATTAAAATCAACTTTTACTACAGAAATATATAAACACAAAATCAGTCCAGGGACTTCAAACAATTCAGCAGTATTTCTACTGGCATATTCACTATATAGTTTAAAAAAACAAATAAATAAAATAAAAAAAATAATAATATATAAAATGATAAACATCTTTACAAACGTTTTTTTTTGACCACCAAGGCCACAGACACTAAATTGCAAGTGACAAATGTCAGACAAATAAGATTTTCAAAAAGACAATTTTTAAAAGGACATGACGTGCAGTTTTATATTTAGACGTATTTGCATTTATACGTACATGCATTTCAGATCTCAAATATAATTAGTGTTTTCACAGCTTTTATTTGCCTGCTTCGGTTAGGGTTGGCTGTGCCACCTGACTTTTCAGACTAATTTCAAATAAAACAGGCGTCTACCTAGATACCCATAGAAACCTTCGTCCTTGAACTTTAATTTATAATAATACATGTTTAAATGGTTTTCCTGTGGTCACACCACTTGACATGGTAAACTGATCCGTTCTAACCATTCTAACTATTTATGTAAGGGCTACTGACCTCGGCACTGCACTAGGAAGGTCACTTGGGGGCTTCTTTATAATACAATTCCCTGGCCCCTCTTTCGTAAAAAAAGGATTTTAAAATAACATTACTTTGTTTTTGGTTGTGCCGCCTGACATTTGTCCACAAGTTCTTGCTTCCTCAAATGTTTTTAAGCAATTTGAGTACTTTTAAAGTTGCCTAATTTTGCAACAGGATTTTATGTTTGAAAACTTCAAAATAAAAAACATATAAAATTTTAAATACTTTATAGCTACATTACCTTTTTTGATAGTTTACTTAATCAACATATATGGTTGGATGGTTTCACCACCTGATATTTTAAGACTTTGGAGGCAAAAGAAAAACTAAAATGATTTTTATTAGGATGCACTGAAAATTGTTTGACATAAAAGAGGTCTTGTTTAATATTTAACATAATTATTAAAATATTTTTTGGGCAATTTATGGACTTGGACAGAAAAAAAAAAAAATGCATGTCAATGACTCATGTATTTAAAAAAATGCAGCAGGCACCCTTACCTGGACCTCGGGGTGAGGCTGCAGCAAGTGGGCTGCCAGGCATGGAAGTGGTAGGCGATGGAGTCTGTTGAACAAGTGTGACGCCAGTGAGAGGCATGCTCTGTGAGGCAGGGGCAGCAGCAGCCGGGGCTGGACTCTTAGGCGAGTTGGCTGGTAGAGAGGAAGTGGGAGTGACATTTGGAGAGGTGGCCGCTGTTGCGGCGGGGATGTCATATTTCTGCAGCTGCAGCAGGTAGGTGTCGGCGGTGGGCACCGCACCCCAGCTCACCTCCAGAGAGCTGGTGTTGGCACGGACCAGCTGCACTCGTGACGGTGCATGGGGGCGGTCTGCAGGATGTTAGATTTTTGAGAGTTATATAACAAGAAGCACAGTATTATACATATCGCTATGCAGTCTTCATTATGTCTCATTATTAAGATACAATATTTTTTATAAACAACAACAACTATGGTACGGAGAATAAGAAAATTCATGTTCAATTACACATGTTGAAAAACAACAAACTGTGAAAACTCATTCAGACAGGTTCACAAATAGTTCGGCCTGATGAACTCACCTGTCTCCAGGTACCAGAGGTCTTTGCAGCACACCTGGTTGTTCCAGGCCTTGCGGTAGCCATCCCTGCCGCTCCAGATATACAGCCTGGAATTAATTGCTACAGAGCAGTGGCCTGCTCTGGCCCTCGGGATGTTGTCTTCCAGAGTGTCCATTAAAATGGATTCCCATGTCATTGTGTCTGAGAGAGAATAAACAAAAAATACACAAATTAAGTAAGAATAAAATGACCAATTTAAAGAGGCTTCTCGCTTGGTTCATGTTATTACAATCAGCTGTTTTCCTGCTGTTGGTAAAGTACAGTTAAGACCCACCAAGGTTTAGGCAAGCCAGTGTGTTTGTGCACTTCCATTCCTTCTCGTGTGTAGCCACTTTCACATCATCCATCACCAAGGGCACCCACCCGCCAAACACATACATCCTAGAGACAGATGGCAATGAGGAGAGTTACTAAAAAAAACTAGTGACACTTCAGCAATAAAACACTGAATAGGAAGGGAACCATGACAAGGGATATAATCTCATACATTAAATATGCAGGTCTGCTCTATATAGCACAGCGCTACCTGGGTGCAGATGTTAATCACAAAATTACCCACACTTGTGGAGTACAGTGTTGTAAATATGTTCTTTAGACTAAAGAAAAAAACTCACTTGTTTGTTATAGTTGTTGCTGAGTGAAGGCTGCGAGGGAGAGGAGCTGTGCCGCTGATGCCAGGCTTGTTCCAGGTCAGAGTGTCTACAAGGCAAAGGATTTATTTAAGAAAGTTTATTCAAAAAAAACAGACCACCGGTTCTGGTTTACCAAGGAAACTTAAACCGAGTCTAACATTTATGCACATAAACAAATGAAGAAAACATTCGTTCAACATAACTGACCACCAGAGGTCTGGTTCACCAAGACAAGTTATCCTGTCAAAAGTTCCAACCTAAAACTTCTTCAAATAAACCAAAAAGTAAATAATTCATTTAATCTGAATCCTAACATTTTCCTTCTTACATGCTAAGTCAAAGTTCCTCCTTATGTGCTCGCTTAGGACTGCTAAAGTTTAAAATAATAGACTGAATTCTTTAATGCAAATTCAAGTTCTCAGATTCCCCCACAGATTACTGAAAAATGTGGTAGATGCACCCAGCTAACCTAATGTTCTGATCCCATCCAAAACTTATTGGCAGATAATTATGGAAGATAGCTACTTCACGAGGTTTCATTTGTCTGTCTAATAAATAAAATTGGAATAAATAATCAAAAAGGTAAATAGTAATAAAAGATAAATAGTAGGTAAATAGTAAATAAATTACTTGCTTCTATACAGTGACTATTACCAAAATGACTAAACCACTCTCCAATAAGACTGAATAAGTCTGAAATTAACTTCTCAAATTGCTCCTCAACAAAATGCACGTTAGCTTTTAAATACCATCATACATTATTGGTATAACGTATAATAGTATGCGAGTGTTCAATGTCCAAAACTATACACTGCTTTTAACCGACACGCCAATCAGACACAGATAAATGTTTTTTACGTAACAAATCAATACAGACTTATTTACATCATCACACCCTCTCACCTATGTCTAACGTCCAGAGGTCTCCGAGCCGGCAGCCACTCATGCCTCCGTAGATGACAAGCCGGGACTTCTTAGAGGTTTTCTCTGTGTAAACCACGGCAGTGTGGCTCTCGCGAGGAGGGGGCAGCACGCCGTACGTGATGGGGATGTCCCAGCCTGTTACATTAGAGCCAGGACGCAGCTCGAGTGTGTATAGGTCATTTAGGTATCTGTGCGCAAGGAAGGGAAAAATGTTGGTTTTGCTGCTCAGTTATTCCCAATATAGTCTGATAACTGCTGAGATTTTGATAAAACATCAGAAGTTACACTGAGTGTTAGCTCTGTTCATCCAAATGTATGTTCAAATGCTGAAACGTACAGACTATGTAAGGCAAAAACTACTTTTAACATGCTTTAAATTGACTTCCTACCTTGGAATATTGTTTTTGGGATCCTCGCTGTCATTGGCGAGGCCTCCAAACAGGTAGCATTTGTTTCCCACCAGGGAGAAGCTGTGGCCCAGGCGGGGACAGGGCGGCGGGCCATTCTTTGGAGCTTTAGGCTTCAGCCGTTTCCACTCCCATCTACTGGCCTGTAAAAACCATCACAGTTATTAACTAAAGCAGATTCTTTTAATTACAACAAAAATGAGGGAAGCACAACAACTAACTCCCCGAATTAGACAGATGAAACACAAAGGTGTCTGCAGGTGGGGCTACAGAACTGCAATGCTACATTATTCAACATACTATTAACGCGTTTAAGTGTGGAAATTTAACCTGATAATGCAGACCTTAAACTATGGCAGTCTGGCATACCATATTCAGTATTTGAACCTCAAGCCTGATAAAACATAGGTGCTGGCCTTCCTGATTGAAAAAAATATATATATCCCAAGAGCCTACTTTATAGAAAATATCTGCATATACATCACAACTGCAACACTGGTCAGAAAAACTGCAATTAGATATTTTCCCCCAAATAGTCCAGCTCTAGTGACACTAAAGACAGTAGCACTGCTGGAATTGCTCCCTCTTCTAAATGCACTTAACAAAACATTAGCTCCATACAGAAGTGTGAACACCCCTTCCCAATTTACATGTTTTTGTATTTTTTTCCCCTAAGTGAAATTAAGTTAACACATCCTATACGAGTAACAAACTAAAATGTGACATGTTCCTGCTAATTTCAGGGTGTAATTTCTATGTATGAGTTTTACATACTGGAAAAACACATAAAAATTTGCCATAACTTTTGCACAGCCAACATTATATCCAATACGTTTAATTCCATGAATACACAGTAATCATGCATTAAAATGTGTATACGTGAGGATGTGTTAATTTAAAAAAAAAAAAAATTCAGAAAATCATTTAATTTGATCAGTATGCCAAACTTTTTCACAGGACTGTATAAAGACATACAGCCAAGTAAACAGTTCCTTCAAAAAGACAAGAATTCACTGAAGTTGGTACTTTTGACACTTACCTGTAGTTCATATAAATCATTGCTGTACTTTCCATATTCCACCATGCCCCCGAACACCAGCAGCCGTGTGCCATCGCACACAAACCCATAAGCAGCACAGCCAGGTGGAACATCACCCCGGACAGCCGGAATAAACCACTGATTGGTAGCTGTGGAGGAACAGACCAGACATTTAGCTCATCTGCATTTATAAGATGCTCTTATCCAGAGCGACTTACAAAATGTACAAACAATTAAATTCAAATTAAACGCAAAGTGTTTTTACATAATGCGATGAGCATCTCACAGCAATGACACATTCCATAAAAAAAACAGTTTTCCCCTCGTTTTTGATGCTTTTTAGTGTAAACTGTAAAACCACAGGATGGGTACAATCTTTAAGTGTATGTGGTGTAGAGGTCACATCACATAGACATTTCTTCATAATTCAACTGTTAAGAAATAAATGGCCATTCACAGTGGTTTGACATGAGATGCTCCAATCTAGAAAGAGTCAGAAACATTCACAGCAGCGGTGATAGGAACCAGACGTCTGAAGCATTTACTACAGGGGTTCCCAATCCCAGTCCTGGCACCCCCACTATGCATGTTCTCCTGATTTGTCTCTTTTAGCACATCTGATTCAACTCACTGACTAATGAACAAGCTCCTCATGGCCTGGATCAACTGTGCAGAGTAAGGAGAACAACAGGGGTCACCAGAGCTGCACTGAAAACTGCATACTACCACACTAAATAGTATGCTAAAACACTACACCACCAACAGCAGTGCATTCAGTAGTGCAGTATGCATAAGACGGCAGTATGTATTTTGGGACGCAGCCCAGCACTACCACTGTGAACCCCTAGTTTATTGCCTGCAAGTACTACCTCAAAGAAAACTATTACATGGAATGGTTACTATTAAGTTGCATAAGATATTGTTTTTCTATAGTTTTGAGGAAAGGTTTTAGTGTAAAAGTAAAACTTTTTTTTCACCCATGCATGTCAGAAAGGAACATAAAGTGCACTGTAAGGCAAAATAGTACCCAAAGAAACCCCCCCAGATTGACCATTACCAACATTACAAATAGCTCAGAAGACAAATGGAGGTTCACTGGTGGTTTTGGATAGTAAATAAAATGGCTGCATTTGCGATGTAGGTATCAGTACACCTGGTTCCCATCAGCACCACTGTAAAGAAATCTGAGTCTGTAGGTTTCTCTACAATTACCAATTTCTCTCTGAACAACTTTGTATACAGTTGAATTATGTAGATTAAAAAAAAGGAATTCCTCTTTAATACAACTAACAAAGCAAGTAAATACGAATTTGACTTTTTCTGCACCTCAGCACCAAAATGCATCCCAAAAACAGTCCATCACTAAAAACTAATTTGGAAAAAAATACCCTGACATGTCAGCATAACTGTAAATATTTACACAGCAATGCGGGATATGATCAGAGGTGGAGTTTGTTGACGTGGTGACGTCGTGCATGTTGTATTAACCCGCCATTTCTCTTTGCAGTTTTCCCTCCATTCTCTGCTCGGCTGAAGCAGCTCCTCTGCCTGGCTAGCCGGCTTTCTAGCATTAGCTGTGTAGCCGATGCTTGAGGGGGAAAAAAGCTAACAGTGCGATAGCTCCAGCTACCTGTCACCAACACCGCAAAAGCTTTGTGTACATCAAAATAGAAAACTTGGCTCGAGATATCGGGCATCGCATAACGTTGGCAGCAAAAATATACATGTAACGTTAACAAGCACAGAGTGAACGACTGCGTGTTTTAACTGCTTATAAACACGTTCAGTTTTGCATCCCTGCAGCAGCTGGAGCGCAAAAGCTATTTTTCAGGTTAACATTAGCTAACTAGATTTCTCTCTAGTTAGCCAACTGCTTGACAAACTAATGCTAATGCCCCGCATTTTTTGCGTAATGAATCAATAAATAGATCATCAACAGTAATTAAAAGACACATATTTGGCAAAGTGCAGAATTAAAAGACCATACGGAGGCCCAGAGAAAGTCTGAGCCAACGCAAAAACATGAGGACAATAAAAAACAAAACAATATCGGACGAATTTGCACCGTGCATTAAACGCCAGATCGGGTTAGCAACAAAGCTAGCGTGCTAGCTAAAAGTTAGCGAGCTAGCTCTAAGGAATCTAACATATTTAAAATGTTACACAGTTAGAAAACCCAAACAGCTGCTCCGCATATGCTGTATATAAATCAGTACTTTACCTGTGTTGTATACGTGGAGCTCATCGACGATTCCTTCATTGCCGCCGCCGAAAACCACCATGAGCTCCTTGATAGCAACAGCCCGATGTCCGTGCCGAGGGCGAGGAACCGGGCCGGACCAGCCCAGCACCCTCTTCCACCGGGGCTGCAGCACCGTGCCCGAAGCGCCAGACGTCGCAGTACCAGTACCAGGAGAAGCCATTTCTTCCTCTTTAACGAAAAACAAATCCCACTCAGAACGCTCCGTTTTTTAAATCAACCCACCGACAACTTCTGCTGCAAAAAAGCTACACAATACAATGCAGGCTAGCTCAGTCAGCTAAGCTAACGTAGCCAGGCGCTTCCAAGGGACGTCGTTTCTCTTTTTAAAATCGGACCAAATCAGACCCGAATTGTTTCAATAAAAATAACCAGAGGAAGCTCCAGCTACGTTACTAACACACACTCAAAGCAGTTTATTTAGCTAACGCTACATCTTGCCGAATCAAGCTAGTGCTAGTTCTTTCACGAACGGCTAACAAGATTAGCTCGCTAGACAACGCACAGTTAGCACATCGCTACAATAGAGACTTTAACCTAATTAGGCAGATAGACGTGCGAGTGAGTACCTAATCGGTTCGTGCTCGGTTAAAATCCTCTGCGTACAGAAAGCCACTAGTCCATTTTGCATCAGCGCTACACTTTAGCACTTTAAGTATTGTAAATGATGATATTTGTCTCGTATCAGCGTCAAAAAAAATGTAGCCGGCTAGCTAACCTAGCTCAGAGAGTCCGCCATTTTAGCGGGTACAGAAATAACAACACCGGTAAGAAAAAACAATACGGTGATCAGATCAGATTTTCTGGGTTAAATAGGCATCATGAGCAGGTCGATCCTTCACAGTGCAGATGAGTTTTCTTTCCCCTGCGTTCCTCGGAGAGTAACTGCCAGAGGAAGAGTCCCATATGTGTAATATAAAAGCTTCAAGAGAGAGAACAGCGGTGCGAGTCGCCGCCGAGTGCCGCCATCTCGTAACGTTAGCTTCGGCTAAACACATATAACTTAGCTTAGCTGGCTAAGAGGCTAATGCTAGTGAGCCTGGCTAACGTCAGAGTGAAGATGGGCGGCGGGCGAATCCGAAAAACTCAATTTCCATTTTCTGCCGCCGACATCTTGTAGCTCTTGCTAACAACCGAACAAGCCAGCAGCCCGTGGCTAATGGGGAAAGATAATAATGTAGCCTAGGTTAGCTGGCTAAACGGCTAAGCTAGCGTTCAGTGAGCTTGGCTAAAGTCAGAATTAAAAATGGGCGGTTTAACTTAACAACAGAAAAGTCGATTTCCATTTTTTTTGTTGAAGTGGACAAATTCATTGAATAAATATGACTACACGTCAGAGACGTATGAGAAATAGCGTTAAATGTTTCAAAACTGCCCTGATAATCTCCGCAATACGCATTTTATTTATATTTTTTATATTTATTTATTATTGTTTTTATTGAGCAGTTTCCTTAGTTTCCAGAGTTGGCAGCCTGTTAGGATTTCATGCCTCCGCTGTCTGGGAGCCGCCATCTCGACCAAAAAAAAAAACAAAACAAACAATCTGCAAAACTGCACGAAGCTGAAGCCAGCTTCTTGTTCGAATTTTCCCGTTCCACCTTAAATGGTCCTGCAGTTACGCTCCGGCGCCTGTCAGTTTTTAACTGCTGCACCATTTAAGGTGGAACGGGAAAATTCGAATAGGAAGCCAACTTCATCTTCGGCAAAACTGCGCTAGCCAGAAAGACGCTAACCGTTTTTCAAGAACCAATATTTCCACATTGCACACAAAAGATCACTAAAATCAGGTCGAGTCGACTGAACGATTGTAAGCAGTGTCTGTGACTCGAATCGCAGCGCCGATGAAGTAAATAAAACCGATTTAAAAAAGAAAAGCGCCGCAAAACGTTAGCCTCAGGCTAGCTAGGCTAAGTAGCGCCTAAGTAGCCGAAATACCCAGCTAGCTTAGCGAAGATGGCTAAAACAGCTAGCGGGGCTGAATAAAACTGAGCAGAAACAAGCAGCATGACAGAGGAATGTTACGCGGTTTAATTTTAAGTGGGTTTTATTTGCTCTTATCATGGAAAGTGGCAGTACTGGGATTTCCAAATCATTGTTTTTTTGCCCCTCTGACTTCTCGCTAGTTAGCTTCCCTCAGTAAAAATGGCGGATGTACCGTTAGCCGTCATCAGAAACGCTGCAAAGTAATTCAGACTTCTGAATCTCGTAGCGCCGAATACTTACTCGTCCCGAGCCGTTATTCTAATAAGAACAAAAACCGAGGGAGAGACCCAGTGAACGAATTCAACCCCGAGTATGTCTTTTTCCTGCAGATATTGCTAACTCTACATCCTTTCATGCCGCCCAGGAAGCCGCCATCTTCTTAACAGCCCCTCGGTAATTAACTGCCCCTGATTCTGTTGCCCTCAGCCCCCCCGCCCCGAATACAGGCGGCCAAATAATACTGCTGTGCTCTGTGCGACTGTAAACCTCTAACACGTCAAATAACCGAGCTCTCATACAGCAGTAAATTCACCAGTTACTGTACTGTTTGTCTTTTTCCCATTGGCGGACACTCTTACGAGAGAGAACTGTAGGAAAAATGAGACAAGATTCCTACAGTGCAGTGTAATCTGCTATAATCTTCTATTCTCACCTCCAGATAATATTCCTGTAACACTGTCTTACTTGTATACTGTACTATAGCATTTGTCCTAACGCACTATGAGTATTATATAAATTCTGTGTACATATTTGCAATATTACTACAGTTCGGAGACTCTCAAACCACAAATGGGCCACAAAGCAGCCTTTCAGACTGATGGAGACTGTGTTGTGTATGATTCTACAAAGAACCTTTTTGACAGTGGTTCTATGTAGCACCAATAAGGGTTCTTCTATTGTTATATATTTGACATCACAACAATAGAATAACCCTTTTTGGTGCTGTATAGAACCATTTTCAAAAAGATTCTATATAGAACCGTCTAAAAAACATTTCAGCATGAAATGGTTCTATATTCTTAAAAATTATGGTTCTTCAAGGGTTCATTAGTAAATAAAATGAACACTCAAAAAACCCTTTGCATGATTGAATGGATTGAATGAAATGGATTGCATGAAATGGTTCTTCTTCAAACTGATGAATAATGCGCTATAGATGGTTCTATATAGAACCCTTATGAAAAGCGTTCTTCTATTGTTACAATGTCAAGCTTGTAACAATAGAAGAACCCTTTTCAAAAAGGTTCTATATAGAACCATCTAAAGCACATTCTCCATCAGTGTGAAGAACCCTTTCACAATGCAAAAAACCTCTATAATCATGCAAAGCGAGTGTTTGTGGTTCTATACACACGGTTAGAAATAAAGGTTCTGTGCAGATACATTTTTCATTCATCAAGGTACAATCAATGTAAATGTTCACTCAAAGGTACAACAGTGATTTTAAGGTCCAGGTGTGTACCTTAAATACGTTTTTGCCAATGGAAAAGTACATATTTGTACATTTTCATAACAATGTTTTAAAACCGAACAATAAAATAAAAAGCCTGGAGACGAGACGGGGTGTGTGGAGTCAACACAACTTAGAAAATGTAATTTCAATGGATTTTGGTACAATTATAGTACCTGACTAAAGAACTTATGGTTCTAAATAGAACCATTGCCTTTACTAAAGAACATTTGCTTAAATCCTCAGTACTTTCACCTCCCCATAGTATTACTGTAACACTGCCTTATAGTAATCTGTACTTGTGTTGTGTACTATAGCATAATGCACAATAAGAGTCTTACAGAAATCCTGTTTACATCCCTGCACCATTACTATAGCTTAGGGTTTGTCATCCATTGGGTCACCGGCCACAAGTGGGCCGCAAAGCCCACTTTAGAGGTCTCTGGACCAATGCTAGGGGGTGTGGCGGCAGCAGTGGTTCATGGTAGGCTGGTGAGGGTACTTAAACTTAAAAAAAATACTTAAGAATTGAGTGGAAAAAATAACTGACAACAATAAAATAAGAAATTTGTTTTCCCAAACTGTAAATAATGTTAATCCAATACCTACAAAAACAGCCACAAAGACAGCTTTGTCATTTTTTGCTCATTGCTTCTAGAAACAACATATACTTCCCCTGACGTTCCACTTAACATTTCCACCATTCTGCCTGCTTTCTGGCAAAGTAAGTTAATGTTAGGCTAACGCTGATAGTTTATGTTCACTGATACAGGTTGGGTATTGGGGTGTAGGCACCCAAACATAGCTGTTTTGAAAATTTCCTGAGTTTTGCTTTCCTGTGGACCTTCTTGCTTTCTAGAGATAAATAGCCAGGCCTTAAGGCTGACGAGGTTGAGAGCCCCTCTTATAGTTCTTTTTCAAAGGTCCATCTAATAATGAATAACAAATATATCAGCTTTTTATAACTGCTTAAACCTCAACAATAAACTCAAATAAATCCTCATTTAAATAAACAAAATTCAGCATAATGTGAAAGTGTAAATAATTTCAAAAATCTGAAACCGCAAGATTTCTAACCACCGACTTAGTCAATGCAAGTATATATACTCAGCTCCCACACAAATACATCAACATTTTCTCATTAAATCAGTCACTCAACTCAAATATGTATATAAAACTTCATTAAACATGGATGTCATAGTATAAAGACTACAACTCAAACATTCCATCTTTTCATAATTACATACTTTGACCAAGCTCAAATTTTGACAAACAATAAACAAACAATTGGTTAAATAAGCAAAATAAAAGACTCAAAATATATATAATAAAAGACAGTGGTTTACATACCATGATTACATTCTTCTTAAATTCACTATAATACCAGTGGTTAAATAGCAGTGCAGTATGACTGAAAGATACTAAAGTAAGCACATACTGTGTAAAAATGACTGCAGTACCTAAATTCGGGTGCAGTTTACCCCACAATAACACTAGCAAAGTTCAACTCCTACAGCAAACATCCCAGTAGATAGTAAACCATTTATTACACATGAAGCACCTCATGTAGTAGATAAGTATTGCAAAAGTCATTTGTAATAATGTAGCACTTCCACTGTTTACATATTGAGTTTGTAGGAAGTTCAAAGCTGTTGTGTAAAACAGTAAGAAAGGTTTAAAGGAGAATTACATAGATTTTTCAAAATTACTGCATAATTAAATCACAGAGATGTAAACAAAGGCATTAAAAGTGGTTTGGTGTGCAGTGGTTCACTTTAGAGAAACTCAGATTTCTTTACAGGTGGTGATAGGAACCAAAAATCTCAACGTAAAGCAAGTATACAGCCTTTTTATGTACTGCCCAAAATGACCAGTGAACCAACACATCATCTGGGTTTTTATAAGAAATGTTGATGATGGTGAAATAAAAATAGTGGAATATCTGAGAGAAAAAAAAGTTTTCTCTGGGGAATATTTTGCCTCACAATGCCCCGCATTTACCTCTCCACCACAAATGTATTTTAAAGATATGTTTTAGGCCAAAACTTTCTTAAAACTATCACAAAACAAAAGGCTGTCGCACTACGCAACATATTTGCAATCATTTCATGTAATAACTTTCTGTGAAGGAGCTTTTAGAGGTGTTTCGGACATCTGGTTCCCATCACCACCACTGTGAACACTTCTGACTAAGCTTTTCTAGAATGGAGCACTTCACACCAAACCATCACTCACACTGAATGACTGTTTAGACCATAACAATTTAACTATGCGGAAATTTGGAAACATCACTGGAATTCCCCATTAAAAGAAAAGAAAACACATGTATGCGCTCCTTTTACTCTGCGAAGGCCATATTCATAAGAGAAATGCTCTTTTCATCACAGCACATTCACAGAAGCAACAGGGAAATGTCTATACGTTTCCTCAGCAGGAGGGGGTTGCATTTTAAATTACAGTTAAACATTTATCTTACTTTAACAATCTGAAACGGCAACATTTCTAACTACAGTCAATGCAAGTACATGTTAGCTCCCACACTTATAAACATACACTCTCACGTTAAATTAGCAATTCACACATTAAATTAGCCACTCAAGTACATACATTAAACTTCATTAAACACGGATGAAGTCTGACAGCAGCCAGGCTTAGGATCCTTTCCGCAAATGACAGTCGTAAACAGTACAAGCACACGCTCGGAATTGTAGCCCACCTTGTACCAGTGAGCATTCGCTTCCAGATGGAAGGTAAGGTTTTAGTACAGAAGGAAGAAGAAGGAGACATCTCAAAGGTATTTCCAGCCCTGAGTAAAAGTGGCTTGCTTGCGTAATCTCAACTGTCTAGGAGAATTTGACATTAAAATTCGCCTAACATGCCAAAACAATATTACAGATGCCATAATTCACACACATGACACTTTCCAGTGGTTATGCAACATACTTGTATTGGGCAAGTAAGTTAGAATTCGTGGTTCAGTAGTAAACAATAGTATCCAAAGAAAACACTTTCTGTAGGTCACCATTTGGTGTTGAGAACTCTGATGTTGGGAAATCCTGAACAGCTTCTGAACCCCTCTGTGTCCGATTCCCTCTTAAGTGTTGGCCTCATACTTCAGCACACATCAGTTCACGTCAGCTCCAGATCCCTAGCCAAAATTGCTGGAGCTCTCATCGCTCTCCTCTGGTTCCCGTCTTTGAGAATTTGTTACTCTGTCTGCAAAGGGAATAACAGAAATAATGAAAATGATGCCCTGAACAATTCCAGGTACTGTAAGATACAGAAAATAATCATATTTAAATTGCAATACTGGTCAGAAACATCACAATTAGATAATTCCCCCAAAACTGTTTAGGCCCAATCATCCATACATTATGTCTGACAACATGAACGGAGTAAGGTATTGTTATCACACAGAATCATTTATAGAAACTAGAAGTTGGCAGTATACCGGTTCATCTCACACTTCCTTAAAATTGTTCCTCAGGTATATTTTGGCCCAATCCCATTTCACCCCTCACCCCTACCACTTAGCCCTTAGCCCCCCATTTTACTGTTCACGCCTAAGCATAGGGTGTCCTGAATTTTGTTGAGATAGAGCGGTAGGGCGAAGTGTTAGGGCTACATGGCCCTCCAAACAGAGGATTTTCAGAGGCTCCAAACAGAGTGTAATGAGAAAAAAGACTGAAAAACTGTAAGATGACTGCACAAGCAACCAAAGAAGCCCACAAATGGGAGCATTTTCTCTATCAAAAATTATGATAACCGTTGTATTGTCTTAGTTCAATGTCATTTCAATGTTTTATGGTCCTTTTCTTCATAACAAGCATAAAAAAATCACTAATAGTGTGCTAATGTCTCGGTAGCCAGCTAGCTCATTTTCCCGTTCCACCTTAAATAGTCCAGCAGTTCTGACACCTGAAGCAGCAGAATGTAACTGACAACATGTGGAACAGGAAAATTCGAACAAGAAGCTGGCGAATATCTGACTTCAGCTTCATATCACTGAAGAATTAGTGGTGGGCGATAATAAATCCCCAAATTGTCCCCATCTTTGAGGGCATATGATGCCCTAAATGTAACTAAAGCCCAGCAGTGAGGAGCTGAACTTCACCCTCCTCTGCTGTCACTGCAGACTGGCAGGGTCGCCTACAGAGCAGCACTGGCAGCCTGTTAATGAAGTAATGTTCTTTTTTTATTTGAGGGTCCCATTTCAGAGGGGAAGATTTCAACTACTACACCTTGTTACTCAGTTCCAAGGGGCAAGGTGACACTCAAAAACAAGGGGTAGGGGTGAAAGTAAGAAAAGGGATTGGGCCTTAGTCACAACCGTTAAACCAGCTGGCCAAAAATAAGCTGGTTTAGAAGTGTGGAAAAACAAATTTTTTGCAAATTCCTGCATTTTTTTGCTTCATATTTAATGACTTTTCTTAATTTAATGAGGACAACTGAGTAAATATAAAATTAACATAATGGTATGTTTTTAAAGTGCTGAACACATTTTATATCGAGTTTGACCCCAGACTATTTCAGCTGTATAAAACATAGAAAATATCAAAATTTTACACACATTTGTTTTGGTTGTTTTGGATGATACTGAAGTCACTATAACATGCAATCTTTAAAAGAAGACTTTTCTCAGCTTTAGGGCCCCAACCTAACATAACCACACCTGTAGTAGTGCGAGAACCACTGATAAGTTCACACAACATGAGAGAGGGGAAAATAATTCCCACGAGAACTTTTCCTGGAGGTTTAAGTTGCTGGGGTCAAACTGACCCCAAAGATAAAAGATGTTAGTGAATTTGAGGATAACAGGAGGGTTCAAACGGTCACATCTGAAACAATCAACACAGTAACATCCTGAAAAACACTGCCTACATGTGGTAAACTGTACAAAGTGTTGTGTTTTCTCTGTGGAGCTATGTCTCACTCCCTTTGAGATCAGGCCGGTCTTCTGATCTGAAAAGTGTGAGCTAAATTTGGCTCTCGCTGGTGAGATCAAAATCACTTAGCTACTGATTTACATGAACAAAAAAGATTAAATCTTCAAAGTGCAGCTTCACATTTTGGAACTGTAGATAATGAATCCAAAAGGGGGTTCATTTCCACTCTTCTTTTTAACACACACACATTCTTTAATCAGATAAAATCTGCCATCTGGTTGCATTCTGAGGACTTACATGATGGAGTGGCAGATGAGAGGAGGTCTGAGGTTGGTATTCTCCCTTCTTCATAAAGTGCCATTTTCTCAACTAAGCGCTGTCTGACTGGGTTAATTATCACTCTCTCATCTGCAAAGACAAGGGCAAACAAAACCACAGGATGATCAAGTTCAAAAGCTGCTGATTTTGCTGAATTTGCTGAACTATTTTTAATAAACAGTGCTGAAATACAAAACTCCTGAATTCCTGAATCAACTAGGCATAGAATCAGACAGTATTTGTTCTTAACTGATCAGCAGTCACCCGATTTATTTTCATTTTAGCCGATCTGATAAAGATTTTATTGTTTAAATAATGTTGGACCCCACCATCCCGTGTTTCATATCAGTGTGCTCATTTAACCCAGTGGTCACCAGCCCTGGTCCTGGACATCTTCCTCCCAGCAGAGTCTAGTTTCAACCACAATCTGCAACACGTGCTCCAGCTCATTTACTTCTTCAGAACTTCCAGACTGGCTGGATCAGATACATTAGTGTTAGATAAAGCAGGATAGCATGTTAGATGCAGGCTGGCATTAAACTCTGCAGGGAAATAGATCTCCAGGAGGGGTGGTGACCACTAGGGTCGTCTTGAGGGGTGGGTGGGGCGTGTACCGAGTCAGCTTATGCAGGACCCTTCTGACATGATTCTGTTCTAGATTCATTGCTCTTCTCAAACACAATCCAGACACAAGCAACCAGTAGAAATATTACTCTGTATCTTCAATATATTGCATAACAACCAATAACAACATCCACTTGGCCTTTCTTACAGCAAACGTAGCAGCGTAATCTGTAAGCGTAGGAAGGTTTAGTTACCCTCTATATTGCTAAATATACATATAGGTTGCCGACAAAACAAAAGCTTTTGTCTCCATTTTGTTGTTTCGACCTTGTCATCAATTTCATGATGAATGGAGAAATAAAAATGCTACACAATGACTTAGACACAAATCTCGTCACTTTAACTTACATCAAAAGCAAGGAATGTTTCTTCTTTCCCCTGTAAAGTTACTTTTTGGGAGATAATTATAAAATAGGATTTGCTATTTGATGCAGGTGCACAATTTTAGCCCCAATTTTCCCTTTTTTATTTATTTTATTTTTTTTTAAGATTTTTGAATTTTAGAAACAATGACAGGCAGTAAGAACTACAATGTTGCACCAGCCAATGAGAGCGTGAGAGAAAACCCTTGGGGAGAAAGGTGTATCTGGAACAAAAGTCACGGCAAAGTGGTTATATGAAAAAGGAGCCATGAATATTGACTGCAGCTGCTCAATCACTCACTGGCAAGGTTACGAGCAGCCGCTAAGAGCAGCGTTCTTTAATGTGCTGGTTAACCCAGGAAACGGAAGAGACACTATTAGAGAGAGTCTGAAATCTGTACCATGGTCTACATTTTTAGTGTCCTTGTCTTTCAGTTAGAGCAAGTTAATCAGGCAGTTGATAGACAGTTTTTATGGGATTTGGGGATTCTTGCTTTGCCACGGTTCCTGATCCTGAAGACTAAGCCTTCCTTGTCCGCACTCAACCATATAGTGTGCATCCCTTAAATCAGGAATGTCCAGTCTTATCCGCAAAGGGCCAGCATGGGTGCAGGTGTTGGTTCCAAACAAGAAGAGCACACCTGATTCCACTTGTTTAATCAGTCAGTCTCAGTCTTTAAACAACCAATCATGTGTGCTCCTGCTTTATTGCAACGAAAACCTGCAGCCACACAGGCCCTTCATGGATAAGACTGGACACCCCTGCCTTAAATTAATTTCTCCTCTCACTACAGGGCCCTGTAAAGTGTGGCCCTGCCCAAGACACAGCCCTGGGGTCCCCCTAAAGTAGCCTGCAAAGTGTGAGCGTCAAGTAAAGAGAAAATAAACAAGGTTACTGTCATTGTTGCTTGTTGCTTTCAAAACAAAGAGAAGAAAAAAATATGGCTAATAAAACACAGTCAAAAAAATCAGCCATCGACAGCCAGTTAGTGACCCTGGGAAAAATGAATCAATGAACTTTGGTATCTTGGTTGATTTTTACAAAAACAACTAAAAACAAATACTGTAACTTGTATAAAAAAAGAGGTGCTTCTAGTAGTTAAACTAATCTTAATGTTACAGTGTTTTATTACAATGATTTTGCACAACTGGCATTGAGAAATATTGACGTTGAGTGTTAAGCTTTGTTTCCAGCCACCACTCCAAAGCACAGATTTAACCCGTAATGCTCAACTGAGCTTTTACCTGAACTGCAGCTGGATGGAAACGGCGTAACAACAGAGAAGCTGCTTGAATGTGTGCTCTTAACATCACTGTGTCCGCCAGACCACGGCTGAGACTGATTTGTCTGTGCTGCCAACGGTGATGCAAAACACTGAGAGAAGCCCTGACTCTCATCTGATTCGCAGGGTGCACGAACTGAGGAGTACTGAGTATCCCATAATCCTTCACTCCTTTGTGACTCTGGGGCTTCTGAGTGAGTCACTGCAGAAGGGAGAGGGAGTGAGCTGTGTTTGTGTGGGCAGCAGTAAGTGTCCTCTTGGGGACCAAGCTTAGAGAACTGATGAGCGAGAGAGTCCAGAGAGCGGCTTTCAGAGCACAGCGGCATCGGGGTGGACAGATGCGGAGGAGCCAGAGACATTTTGACTACGCCAGACCTGCCAAAGGCCTTCAGTCCCAAATGCACGTCTTGGAGAGTTTTGAAGACCTGATGGAAGAGATTACACAATTTAAGACCAAAACAAAACTTCTGAACTGAAATGTATCAGGAGGGTCTTAACTACAAGTTAGACTACATTTTATGATGCTGAAAATTTATTTATGGGACCTTAAAGTGATGCCAGCTGTAGTAAAATTAAATTCATGTTACTTTCTTCAGTCCATAATAACTATTGCAACACAAATTTACACATAAGCTCTAAATCTGTACATTGGTGTCATGAAAATGTATTGAGGAATTAACTGAAGATTTACAATGCAACATGTTTGATAAATTGCCAGGCATTACTGAAAAACTTTTAATAAGAAAAAGGCATATTCACACCAAGTACAACTGTTTCAGATGTGAAAAAACACATGCAATTTTTAACATAGGTGAAGCTTCACATCAAGTCCAAGTGTTTTTTGTTTTTTTTTGTTTTTTTTTTAAAAGAAGACTGAGGGAAAAGGAAGGAAAAATCTATTCTTCACTTAGTAACAACAATGAATTACCATTTTTCTTTTAAGCACACACTGGGAACAAACATTTTACAAAAACAATGAACATTAACAGACTAGGATTCACCTAAATAAATAAAAAACAGCTATAAACCATTTCTATGCTATACAAAGGTATTTTGCCATCATTCCTCAGCCTTTCAGCTTCTGGCATGTATTTTCCGTAACCTCTGCACTTTTACAGTCATTGTGCTGCTTGTCGTTTAATCTTTGTGCCATACCACAAGCAAGACAAGCTGTTCTGCTGTCATCATGATGCACTGTGGTTTGAACTGCAACCATGATAACAGAGCTCTGATGGGTCAGCCTGATTTAACACAGCCCGTCAGTTCACTGCAATGAATGTGCAAATGTTCACTTTAAAAACTTGATAAACTTTTTTAGAAAATAGTTTAAGGTAGAAAATTTACAATTTTTGAGTTAATTATTCATTTTTGTACTACATTATGGTGGTGCAACATATATATTAATAGTGACCACTGATATATCAATTGTGAAGACACCAGTTTTGGCGCCTTCATTTGCAATTACTGCTACTGAGCTTGGGAAGAATGTGTTCTATGTCAAAGTACACTTGATTGTGGAAATTTGGTTGATGTGATTTCAGAAATTTGCAAAGCAGCTGCAAGTTCTAATGCAGTAGAAACAGTGTCTTGTTTTAAAAATTAAAGTTGGGTCTGTTGAAATTCCTTGGATTACTAAACCTGAACTAAGATAAAATGAAAATGAACCAATACATAACTAACATAATACAGCTGGTACAGTGGAGCGGGCTACTTTTATCCTACCTCGGTCATTGGAGGCCTCTTCTTTCTCCGGCGGTCTAAGCAGCGGCACGCCAGTTGAGAGAGTTCCCTTGAACCATGAGGGTCAGAAATGCCTTCCGTCATCAGCCGAGGATCCAGATGCTTCTTCCAGATGTTTTCAGCTGCCTGGGAAAAGGCCAGCTCCCTAGAATTCCTCCCTTTACTGAAGCTCTTCCCATCATCCTCAACTTCTGACACCAGGTCTTTCTGTGTAAAGCAGAGATCGTCTTTAGCCTTTGTTGTTAACTGCTAATAACATATGCAGTTCAATATGAATGTAAAGCTTCTCACCAGGTAGACAGTCTTTGACTTGCTGTCAGTTTCTAATGCTCTTCTGCCTGTGAGGACCTCCAACAACACCTGTGGGACCAGGGGAATCAGTGAATGAAACTGCACTGCCCAGTGAGAGTTCAATATTGAACCTATTACCTGCATATTCCCAAGCAGCTGAGACACTTAAGATTAAATTACAATAATGAATAACATTAAACAAGACATTCAACTGTCTTTTTTAGCAATGAGGCTTCATAATAGTTTTTGTTTTATTGATCAACTCAATAACAATCAAATGGTGTCTATTTTCTTTGACTGGCCATAAAATTAAACTCTGTATCTTTACTCAAAGTCAAATATGTGCTGTCTCATCCAGAACTGTCACGTAATCTTGTGTGATTATATCAGCCAATTAAGGCCTATTAATGCCTCTAATCTAAATAAATGACAGCTCGCACCACTCCGAAACTGTAGATGTCAATCTCCATGCCCAGCTGGCCATCTTTCAGGTATTCATCAGGCAGGTACGCTAGTGTTCCCCGCACTGTCGCTGTCTGAGCCACACTGCTCGTCTTCCCTGGAGTTCTGCTGGGGTTGTGACACAGCCGTGCGAGGCCAAAGTCCCCCAGCTTGGGTTCAAGGTGTTCCCCTAGAAGGATGTTGGAGCTGTCGGGGAGGATGATTTAATTAAACTCAGAAACTGCACAAGGCTGCAATATCTGTCAATTACTATAGAATATGGCCTGGATATCAGAAAAAAACAGAACAATATTTAAAAAAAAAACAAATGAAAAATTAACCTTAATATAAAATAATGTCATTATTAGTCCTTAACAAGCCAGCGGTTACTTATTATAAAAGCAGGTAATTAGTAGGCTGCTTATTACTACATTATTAAGCAGTAACTAGAATGAATTAAGCATTTTTCAGAGCACTTGTAATATTCTTTAAAGTCTCCATATCCTACATTTTTCTTGCATATTGTTTTTTTCTAAAAACAGTATTTTTACTTCAAGATTTTCCGTCCTCTCTTTATCCCCGGGAATTAAACAGGCTGTTTTTGTTACTATGCCTTTAAGACTGATATATGCAAACGAGCGCTGTTCTGATTGGCTGCCCTGTACTAAGCCACACTGGAAAAGTAGTTTGAGCTAAAACATTCCTTTCAAACGGGACTATACTGCTGTTGGCTGAATAGGCAGATAAATGTAAATGCATCAGTTTTTGTGACATCACTAAAACAGTGCATTCAAAACAAACTTTTTTGCAGCTTTGTTTCCATATATGGTCTCTGTGCATTGTGGAGTGAACAGTATGTTTTAAAACTCTTAATGTTTACATACTTCATCAAACTCTTATTTCAAAAAAGTGAGGAAAATTTCGTTTTTCATGATATGGCCCTTTAACAAGCCAGTAGCTGGTATTTAACTGGCTGCTCATCACTACATTATTAAGCAGTAACTAAGGAAAAATACAACTTTTCCAGAGCATTTTTATTCATTTAGCTATGGTTTAAACTGTGCTTCACTTTACATGCATGTGTTCTCCTGGAGAAAGGAAAATGTATAATGCACAAATAAACATGCTTACTTCACCACAGTTATTGCTAAATAATGCAGTATTAGGCAGCTTGTTGATCTATAGGCTTGATTAGTGCATTAGAATGACATTTACGTATGTTTATTCATCCACATTAAGCAGCTCTAATTTGTATGCTTTGGAAAAGATTCTCATTTCAGAGTCAATATGATTCATTTATCAGTAAAGAAATGAAGGTATTTAATCGATTTGGGCCCACCTTTTGACATCTCCATGAATTAGTGCAGGGGAACAAGAATGGAGATACTGAATAGCTTTTGCTGAGCCCAACAACACATTCACACGCTGTGACCAGGAGAGGGCAGTACTATTCTGTAAGACACAAAAAAACCAACAGTTTGAGAAGGACTTGATAATTAGCTTACAAATAATTAAGTTACAAACCCATTTTCAAAAAAAGCTGGTACAGTAAAAGATAAAATGCAAATAAAAACAGATAGCAGTGATTTATAAATACACTTTGACCTGGATATGAACAAAAAACAGTACAAAGACAAGGTATTTAATGTTTCACCTTATTTTTAATTTTGCAAACATATGCTCATTCTGAAATTGATGCCTGGAAAGCATTTTTAAAAAGTTGGGACAGGGGACTCCCTGTATGTAAATCAAGTAAGAGCAGATAAACACTAAACATTTTCCAATACTGAGAGAAAAATACTGATCCCAGAACATCCGGAGATGTTATTTGCAGTTTTAAGCTTAAGCACACAGCATATCGTCGCTGTCCAATGAAAACCATGTATCTCCATTTTTGTTGATTTTTATGTTTTCTACATCATTTCAACACACCAGCTGCCCTTTAAATTGTGTAAAAATTTCATGATGCTTGGGCCAAAAGAAACGCTCCAAAATCAATTGAAATAAAATCTCTTAACTTTGACTTACATTGAAAGGACAGAGTGTTTTTGCCTTTTCCTGTAAAGTTACTGTTTCGGAGATACTTGTTTTTCTTTGGACAGCGACGACATACAAGCCTAAGTTCTCCATATCCAAAAAAAAAGAGAAACTCAGGTCTCAGGTGCAACTTGAAGGCTGCTCTGAGTAACACGTCTTACTTCACAGTGCAGCCGGTCCTCCAAAGAGCCACTGGGCATGAAGACATATATGAGGCAATATGTTCCACCTCCCACACTATAGCCAACCAAGTCCATTATGTTCGGATGCCTGTATCTGTCAGGGAGGGAGAAAACAAGTTGTGCTGAAAGAGGTCTGCTAACGAAGTAAGATCACAGATTTGCTGAAAGTGCAAAGCAAGAAGAGCGTGCTAAGATAAAAGCCGTACGACCCCGTTAAGAATCAAACCAAAGGCAACTAACCACAACAAAGGGAGGAGGAGAAGCAGAAGACTTTCGTTTTTTTCTAGGCTGGGCCGGCATGTGGCTGGCACAGAAGGCAATGAAAATTTCAGGCGGGGGAAGTTCCGTCTATGCGTTTTTGTTGATATGAAAGAAAAGAAAGAAAGAGACAAGTCATTTCTAAGACAGAGAGCAGTGCCACCTCAACATGTAAGAAAGGAGGAGGAAAAAAGTGAGAGCAAGATGAAGGAAGGAGATGCTCAAGCTGCCAAAGCAAGCATGGAAAGTAAAGGCTTCTTACTGTGAGAGTCTTTCCACCTCGGTTTTAAAACTTTCCTTCACCACACTCCAGCCCATATGGGAATCCTGCTTAAGACATTAAGAAATTCCCATTAACGCACAGTCAAAGGACACCTGGCACTGACATCAAAGGCACTGCTGAAAAACAAATCCCAAATTTAAATCACTTCTTGCTGAGGCAAAATACAAGTAAGAGAAAACGGCCCAAAAACAGATTAATTTGCTGATGGACCTTCACGATTCTTACAGTTTCACATGCATCTACGCATTCATTCACTCGCCTCTTTCAGCCTCTTGACTGCAAAGTCAGTGTTCCTCACGGAGGCGCGGTACACATGCCCAAAGCCTCCCTCTCCAATCTGCCGAGATGCAGAGAAATTGTCCGTGCCCTGCTGCACTTCTTCAAACGGCCAGCACAGGACGCTAGCGAACAGAGACGTGGGGAGCTGCATGGCACTCGCAAGAATGCTGCCAACAAACATTATCGCATATGTGAATGAAAAATAAATGACAGCAAAACCCTGTACTACCTTCTCAGTACAGAGAAAATAACACTGATTTTATAAAAATTAAACGAACAGAAAACATCCCGTTTGGATGCAGATCTGATCTTTCTCATCATCTCTCAATCAGACAGTACCTCTTTTTTCGCAGACTGTGTTGACTGCAGACACAAGCGTGTCGACTCCAGATCCGGGGGTGGGGGTCCGGGTTTGGGCAGCAGCCTGTTCTCTACAGACACAAACACAACAATCCGAACACTCCCATGAGCTGTGACAATACCTGAGCTCCAATCAGACGGCTCAGATTTACTGGGGCAAAACACACGTGCTGAAAAATGCTGCCACCATTTTCTGTTGCATGACCATTTTCACAAACTGAATAAAATTCCTGCTGACTAGTTTTCTCCACAGGCCAAAGACATGCATGGTACATGCATTAGCACATCAGGTCTGTATACGACAGGCAGAATAAATTATTTTTTAAGTAGTTATAGTTTCAGGCTTTAATATGTTGCTATGGAATTTCAGAAATCCATAGACTAGGGCTGCATGATATGGACAAAATAACTACAGCATTAATACTGTAATACTCTGCAACCGCTCTATAACTTTCAATATATTAGAAACTGATTGATGAACACAGATGTGGCATAGTTACAACCAGACAACGTACTTATTGTGTTCCAGAAGAGTGTTTTGGTGATGCTGGGCTACGACACCATTATATCTGTATTTTGTTCATTTTACTGCTTTTGCAACCCGACAAAAGACATTTCACAATTATTTTTAATGCTAATTTAGTCCCAATTTCTACATTTTCTAAATGTGTATATATCACCAACAATATCAGCATCAGCAGAAATTTACGTGAAAAAAAAATCAGATATCGGCCCACATTTCTCATATGAGTGCATCCCTAGTTACAACTGGTCTGCATTATTTTGACCAAAATTATTTGCTTTTTTTGAATGATTTTGCTGCACTAAATTCATAAAAAATGCCAACACTGCACAATACACAGGTTTTGTGTCTGGACAGAGGTCTCATTTGCATATTGCAGCTTTTGTGTTATCATGCAGCCCTACCATATCAATGGTACAAAGATTTAGTAAGGCGTTACCATGGCTAGGAAGCGGCTGGGTAACATCTTTAGATGGGGTAAACAGTGATGAGGGGGGAGTGCTGTAGCGGGTGAGGCTGGGAGGTGGCAGGGAGCTGAAGGGGAGTGAGACAGAGCTAGGCTGTGGAATACGCCTCCCTGCGGGAAAACACATAGAGCTGCGTGAGGAAATTGCTGGGAATGCTGGAAAAATGTGTTTAGATTGCAAAGTCATCAAATGTAAACTCTACAATCTTAGATGCCTAGAATTTACAGTTTTCAGCCACAACACGTACGACATACCGTGGACAAAACTGCATTCCTTAGCTAAAAAGAGTAGCAGTAATCTTAAAGCTTGAAGGGATAGGCAGCATGACAGTTACTGTGATAAATTATGTCATTATATGTTTTTCTGAGCATAAGGAGGACCATCTGACCAACACCAACCAACTGCATGTTTCATTAGAAAAAGAACATAAACAGATCTGGATTTTGTGCAGAACAGTATGTGAAACATAAAATAAAAATAATTGCAGTCAGTTTTAAAATGTGACACAACTGGTGCACACAGACTGGTGCCTATTGTGATAGGTATCAGTAATAATCAATATTACCAATATTTTTTAAGTATTACGATGTTGAACGACATTAGTAAGTCTATGAGAGATTATTTCAAAAGTCAGTGTGGTTTGAGGCGAGTATGTAATTTCAAGATGTCAATAAACACATTTTCTGTTTTCTTTCGTTTAGATGAGCTGGCCTCAACCCAACTGATGAAAATGCACCCAATTAAATTCTGTTTGTTGCAACTGTGAATGCTAAAAATTGCGGAAAATGACTGCAATCAGCTCAAATAATTGCAGCAATTATGTAAAAATTGTGACAGGACTAGTAATGATTTGAAGAAAAAAAAAAATCATAGCACGGTGCTAAAAATAAAGAGTCCCTGATGCCACTGGAAACATCAGATTCTCTTACATGGTAAAATCACCAGTTTCGAGGTCTGTTCTCTGCTACAGATAAATGCTGATAACTATGCCAGTGTAGGCAGTTGAAAGGATTAGTAAATTACCACTAGTACAGCAACAAAGGCTAAAAGGAAGATGAAGAAGTCCAGATGAAGATGGCAGATTTGATCATGAACCAGTTTTCAAAACACAAAACAGCCTAAGCTAAATAGACGAAGTATTTCGGCAACACTTTACTTTGAGTGGCCCTTTTTAGACAAAGCAAACACTCAACGGACTCTGAGTAACATGTCGAAAACATATGAGGGTCAGGATTAGCTTTTGGGTTGAGGTTAAGGTTAAGGTTAGAGCTAAGATCAGGGCCAGGGTGAGGGTTAGGTGTTGGGTAAGGTTGGGTAAGGTTAGGTTTTGCGTAATGGAAGTAACATATTAACGGTACATCTACTTAATGTAAGTAATGTGTCAGCAGAACATCAAGATATTTACTTCAATGTATTCAGATGCTGCACTTCTGCTACTTCACTGATTTGTTGTTGATGTGTTACTGATAACCTGTAAGGAGTTTATTAATCATCTACAAAGGACCACTTCAAATATAGTGTTACCAGTATTTCCTCAGTCCAAGACTAGACTAGACCAGCATCTGCAGGCCTAGTCCACTGACATTTGAGTTTGCAAAATTACTCGCTGTACCTACAGTGTTTTTGCTCTGCACCAACCAAGTTATAAGTTTATGCAAAACTAATCACACCCTATCACACCAGTATAGCAGAGTTGATGAGAGTGGCTAAACAGTTAATCACAATCACACGGCTTTCAGAATAAAAGGTAAGGATCATTAACTCACATTTAAGGATGATATCTCTTGGCCTTAACAGCTCCAGGTCTTGGAGGAGGTCCACGAGCTCCCCAACTGTGCCGTTTCTACAGCCCCACTTGTGCATTAGTGTTTCCGTCCGTCGGCTGTTTTGCTCCACCAGCCGTAGTTCAGTCTGATCCGATATTACTTGGGATGCTGGATTGGGAATAAGAACAATCTCAGTCTATCTTCATTAGATAACTTTGAAAAAAAAATATGTCAGTAAACTCTGCTAAACATATCCGGAGTGAATTAAGTCACCGATTTAGCACATTTCAATGATTGCAGGCAGACTTTCTCATGGCCTTTTTTTTTACCCTTCCAGCTGCTAAGTCCACCCACCAACTGACTAAGCAGGCACCCACGAGGCCTGGATTCCATCTTATGTTAGATCTTTTGGCTTCTTGAGACGGGAATGAATAAGAGATTCATAAGAGAAGCGCTCCCAGATCAGTTTAGGGTTTGTGTGGCTATTAAACAACAAAGCTGTTTCTTTCATTGTTTATTTAACTAGCATTACCTAAATAAATATCCCCCTTTAATAATTAACCCTCTCAGAGTTGAGTTCAATTTCCAGTAAGAGGCAGACATATGGCATCTAATATTGACATATAAACAAAAGACAATATATTTATGTGAAATGCACTGGTACACTGGTTTCACTGCTTCACTGGTTTCTAAAGAAACTAAGCAAACCAAATTTTTTCACAGTGTTAGAAGCCGGATGCCTACCTCAAGGAAGTTACTACAAAAAATACACATGAACGCCTGAGACTTTGCTCTAGGACAGTTTTGAGACAAAGTTTCAGCCTAAAACATTTTTTAAATTCATTCATGGTGGAGAGGTACATGCAGGGTGTTGTGAGGCAAAACAGTCCCCAAATAAACTTTTTTTTTTTTTCAGGTTGAACACTATTCTACCATTACATTTCATATACAATCGCAGAAGACATGTAGGTCACTGTCATTATGGATAGTCAATGAAATGGTTACATCTGCATGACCCCTGGTTCCCATCACCACCATAGTGAATAAATCTGAGTCTGTATGTTTATCTACAATGCAACATTTCACATTAAACCACTCTGAAAGACTTATTTTTGACATTTTTTAAGTACTGAGAAATTATGAAAAATCAGTTGATTTTCTTTCAAACCTTAATGTGAGTTATAGGTTGATACTATTACTAAAAAAAAGACCTAAGCTTAAAAATTAGTGCCTGTGAACTGGAGTCCCTTTAGTGGAGCTCATATCCACTTCTCCATGTTTCCCACCCGGAGAGAGCTATTTGGGCTCCTTTGACTGTGGGACATGGGTTTAGTTCTCATGTTCAGCCTTAGAGAGAAGCAGAGCAATGAATCATTTCATTTCCCACACTAAATTATCTGGAAAGATGACAAAAAAAAAAGATATTCTCCTCTGCATTTTCTGGCTCAAATCCTAACTGGCAGGGCGTCCAAAAAAAAGTGAAATATCATTTAAAAAACTGCATTTCTGGTTAGCTGAAAACAGTCATAGGACTGAGTAAGGCTGGGCAATATGACAATATATATTATTAAAACGTAATACAATACAATATGCTATTCTGAACATATTGTGTGCCGTCCAGACTTGTAGAACACTGACCAAATGCATCTTTCACTATGAAGAGAGCAAAATTTGTCCCACTTAACTGGATTTAGTGCAACGCAGTATGTCAAATATTGAATAAAAATCACTGTGTTCCCAGTTTTTGTTAGAATTTTTTTTACTGTAGCGCTACTGATTCTTTTTTCTGTCCCATCTGATCAGAAATGACATCGTACAATTTCTTGAAGTATCGAAATAATAACTTTATTTTTGCCATATCGCCCACATCTAAGAATGAGATGTTTATCAGGCATCAGTGCGGTAATTTTGTGGCTTAAAGCGACCAAAACCTCTGAAGGAAGAAGCGTCGTAGGTGTCGTTACGCTAAGCTAACTGTCAACAGCTAACTCACCTGAACTTCTTGACCAGCTGACATTTGGGTTTTTAAGGATAACAGCAAGTCAGCTATTTAGCCAACAACATCGTTTAATTAGTGAAAATTAATACACAAAAGTGAGTCGCAAATCAGCATTACAGGAGCGCCGATGAACTTAATTATCGAAGTAATGTTTTCAGAAAAGTTTACAGCTGAACTCGCTAACCTAACGACGTTGAGTTAGCCAAAGCTAGTTCGCCCACCGACGTTACTAAACGCATAACTTTCATTCAAGTTGAGGAAGTCAGCTAAGCTAAGCGCTAGTTAGCCGCTTTCTCAACGCCAGTTTTGAACGTCTTTAATAAAATAAGCCAAACCGTCGGACACCGTATCAAAAATGAACTCCATACATGTTCGTCGTGCGTACAAAACCGTCCGATAGACAAATCCACCTGATAAGGTCGCTGAAATCATCTTACCAAATCTCAGCCAGTCAGAGTCAGAGAGCGAATCCATAACTCGGGTGAACTCGTTCATCCCAGCCGCCGGGAAATTGTAGAGATATTCGCTGTTAAGCCTCAAGTCTGACATCTCCTTAGAGCTGGGAGTTAAGCTCGGCGAGGAAAAAAAACTGCTGTATAACTGTTTCAGCAGCCAACGTGGCTAACGTAGTTATGTCCACATGAGGTCTGAGTGAACTGAGTGAGCGACTCCCAACAGGCTGAAGAAGTGAGTAATTCCAGCCAGAAAGTCTGACATGAATTCTCGTATTTTGCGTGACTGATTGGATGAGAATTTAAGGTTAGCGAGCCTGGATGCCCCCAAATCCATGCCGTGTCGCGTTTGACATGTTTTTCTGTTTCTTTTTCCTTTTTGTGTGTGTATGTGTATGTATGTGTGTGTGTAGCAGCCAGCTCGATTTATCACACTTCCTCTTTCCCCATTTGAGAAACAGCGGGGGCGTCGCGAGGCCATTTGAGGGGGGCTTTAACTCACCCTAAATATTGTTTAGCTCCCTCAGATGAATGTACGTTATTAGATCAAATCATCAACAGTATTTTTCACTGATTCTCCATTATGTGCCATCGTTCGTGTCTCCACATTCTCTCTCGCTCTCTCTTTCTATATATATATATATGTGTGTGTATGTATGTATGCATGTATGTATATATATATATATATATATATATATATATATATATATATATATATATATATATATATATATATACATACATACAGAACAAAACAAAACAGAACAGAACAGAACAGAACAAAATCGAAAAATCGAAAACACTATCTGGTTGCCCAAACTGAGACTGTACTGCTCTGTAATCTGTGTATATGAATAACACATTTAGCATAGCATCAGCAGTTTATCTAAGAGAGTTGAGGTTGCTACCATGGCTTGATCTGTGATCTATATCAGTGGACAGATGAAGCAGCACTATAAAAAAAAAATCAACTGTGTGCCAACCTGACCAAATCTATTTTTTGATACTTTTTCCACCTATTACTATTTTAAAAGTTCATAGTGAACACACATTTTGGGGAGCATGTCCTCAGACACCCTTATACTCTCAGAAAAAAAAGGTACAGATCTCTCACTGGGGTGGTACAGTCAAGGGTACATCTCAGTACCTTTAGTCAGGGAACATAACTGAACCATAATCTACTGAAATCATATTTTCTAAGCTGTACTGACTCCACACACCCCGTCTCATCTCCAGGCTTTTTATTTTATTGCTCTGTTTTAAATCATTGGGTTATGAAAAGGTACAAATATGTATTTTTCACCTGAAAAAAAACTTATTTTAAGGTACACAATCAGACCTTAAAACCACTGTTGTACCTTTGAGGGAACATTTACATTGTTTGTACCTTGATGAACGAAAAATGTGCCTGCACAGAACCTTTATTTCTAACAGTGTACTATAATTGTTGTATAATCTATATATATACATATATATATTCTATCCCCTGTGTACCCTGCATCTCATTTATCTACCTCAGACTAACTAATTGCATATATCGATTTTTTTTATTTCATATCCTATATTACTGTTACAAAAACTATACATTGGAAATTGTGCAATACTGGTGCATATTAATGTGTGTATTTAGAGTCTGTGTATATATATGTATATATATATATATATATATGTGTATATATATATATACTTTTTATTTTGTATTCAAGTACTACAAGGGGCCTATGCAGATTTTCTGTGCAGACTTTTTTTTACTAAGATTTTCACTCACCTTCACACCTCTGCAAGTGCTTAGCTCCATGTCACCGAGAAGTAAAAACATCTGGTCAGGCATCTTTTCTTTAAGCTAGTACCGTTCACTTACACTGATATGTGTTTTTCTGATGAGGCTTCAGTTTCGCATCTCCAGCAGATGGAAGGGGTTTTTCAAAGGGCACTGCGCTCTGTGGTTTGTGGTTAAGACTTAGAGTAGCAGAGATCCCACCTTAGAAGACTGCAGGATAAAACAGTGTGTGCACCACATAAATGTGTCAAGGTTAAAATAAAGTAGATAAAATAATTACCATAATCTTGTAATTACAGAGTAAAAACATCAGAGTGTGATACAGTAAAAAGGTCAGTTCAGTTATGAAGGTGTGTTCATTTGCAGTATTAAATCTTACTGGAGTTCGAGACTCCAGTCATGCAGTATTTCATACTTTGCCACATTTAGAGGGCAATTCCACCAAGTTTAATTTCTTTTGTATAATTAAAAGATTAAAATGTAAACATACCCATCCAGAGTGGTTTGGTGTGAAATGTTCCGTTTTGGAGAAACTTACCCAGTGATAATTGTTCACAGTGGTGGTGATAGGAACCAGACATCCGAAGCGCGACCTCACACAAAGTTATTACTTGTAATGGTTCCAAATACGCTGCCTGATACCCAAGACATGATTTAAGACTCAGTTGTTTTATCATCAGCTATAATAAGATTTTGTTTTAAACCTTTTTTTGCATGCAGGACATTCTAAAGCAAAATAGTACCTTTTTTTATGTACTAGTATTCTACCACTATCAACATTACATATAAAATGTCAGAAGAGTCACTGATTGTTTTGGATAGAACAGCTTTCTTCCTATTGCGAATGTGTAGTATATCATTATAGTCTGTCCATTTATGTAACATTGTATGTTTATGTGTATTGCGCTACTCCAGAGGTGAACTACATTTTAACGCACTGAATACAATTACCACTGACACATTGTGTGGCAACAAAAGAATCAATCAGTCGATCAATTAATGAGTAAATAAACTGTATTTGTAACCACTATAAAAAATCTCAGTAAGTTTCTCTACAGTGATCCATTTCACAAGACCATTCTAACTTTGTTTACATCTCTACAGTTGAACTATGTCTGGACAAATCCCCTTTAACATACCTGATTAACTTCTTCAGTTCATTCGTAGTGCCTTCATGGGGTCCTCCTTTCCAGGCCCTCCTCTTTGACATCCTCTTGGGGTACTTTTTTCTTTACAACAAACACTTGCAGCAAATAACACATCTGCATTTTAACAACGCCAGGTGGAGAGATTCCACTCTGAAATCGCTTATCAAAGCCTTCATCTGTACTTTCTTTATTGTTGAACAAGATAACTCGTAAACATATAACCACAGACCCATAATGACTGGGTAATTTACTCATTAATAGAACTTGAAGACTTTGAGGTTACTGTTATTATGGCATTTCACTGAAAAAAGGCCGGTACTTTTTCAATATCAATTTTTTTCCATCTGTAGAAAGACTCAGGGTTCAAAGCATGGTAGAGGTGTTGGGGGGGGGTCTATAAGGTGATCTATATGCTAAATATTTATATCACTGCTGTCGGAACAAAACCTCCTATCTCCATTTTTGTTTTTCAGTTTAATGTAATATGAAAATGTCTGTTGTCCTTTACATTGTGTGTACATTTCATGATGAATGGACCAAAAGAAATTACCCAAAAGGACTTGGCAAAAGGCGGCACGGTGGCGCAGTGGGTAGCGCTGTCGCCTCACAGCAAGAATGGCCTGGGTTCGATTCCCGGCCGGGTGACCAGGGTCGTTTCTGTGTGGAGTTTGCATGTTCTCCCCGTGTCTGTGTGGGTTTCCTCCGGGTACTCCGGTTTCCTCCCACAGTCCAAAAACATGCAGTCAGGCTGATTGGATGTGCTAAATTGCCCCTAGGTGTGTGTGAATGTGTATGTCTGTCTGTCTGCCCTGTGATGGACTGGCGACCTGTCCAGGGTGTATCCTGCCTTCCGCCCAATGACAGCTGGGATAGGCTCCAGCGACCCAGAAGGATAAGCGGTTTAGATGATGGATGGATGGATGGACTTGGCAAAAAGTCTAGTTCCATTGACTTACACTGAAAATTAAGTATGTTTTTTTTCTTCTCCTGTAAAGTTACCATCTTGGACATACAAGGTTTTGTTCTGACAGCAGCGATATATATTTTTTAAAATGTATTTTTGTGAGGTCAACCTTTATAGCTTTTCACAAGTAATACTATACAGGAGTCTATCAACTTCATATCTGTATCAGTATAACTGATGTTTACACTTAGAAGCTGATAAGAAGTCAAGGCAAGTAGGTGTAAATTAATTAAAGTAGTAAAAATTTATTTAGTGGGTCCCAAAAGAAGTAAAACCAAGTTACGATTCAGTTTGGGTTGAATTCCAGTCATATATTGGTTGCTGCACAAAAATGTGTTATTGCATGAGGCCAGCAAGTACATTTTCATAGTTTTTCATAAACTATTTGATAACAAAAACATGTTTTTTTATTTTCTCTGTGCCTTTGTGGCTGTTGCTGACTTCCAAGTCCAAAGTCTCTAAAGTTTCTCAGTAGTTGTGCTCAAATGTGCTCAAGGTTTAGCGTTCTCCAGTTCTAAACTGGAGCTATGCAGCTCGATGTACTTGACTGTACAGTTGCATTACATTACAAATTCAACTGTGTGAGTTTACGGTTTATCCCGGGGGAGCAAAGTAACGCTGAACACGATGAAAATCTGGAAAAGAAGACGCGGTCGCGTTGTGTAAGGGTATTTGTTTTGTCAGAAAGTTAGAATTTTATTCAAGGAAATAAATGAAAGTTAAATTTTTAAATTCTCTCGTTTTTTTGGGGGGGGGAGTTGGGAGGGTCCTCTTATAGGTGGTCCAGGACCCCTCTGGCCCCCTCTCAATTTGAACCCTGTCTGGACTACACCATGTCACAAAAGTCTGAACATGCATGCCTACTTTATTCTTGCACTCACGCACACATGGGCTAAAACATGAAAATCCTCCAATAATACACATTTTATTTTCAGTTTCATGTTAAGCCTAACATCAGTTGTCAGTTATGAATTTGCACTGCAGAAAAAAAGAGGGAAAAAAAACAGAGTAAATGGAGTAAACCCCCCTAAAGGAGGAGCAGTCGTACTAAATGTGCATGATCTTATCTGCAATGTGAGTGAAATAACCATTTTAGACAGGAGGAAGGTAAATGTTGTTTACTGTTGTGTATCTGTTACATACGGCAAACAAATAATACAGTAACACATTACTATAAAAGTAGACACAAACTATACTTTTCACTTTCAGGAAGGCAAGGACTTAGCTTGGCAAATGGTGAGTAACCACTGACACCTAGGCTGTAGGATTGTTTGGTTAAAATAATATATATTTTTTTTTAGATACATAGTACTACCCATCCCTTTTATTTAAAACTAAATCAAAACATACGAAAATAAAACAGCAACTTCGGACAACGGTAAAAAATACATACAAAACGTTAATGGGTGTCCTGCCGGGAAACATACTTTATAAAGTGCAGATCTTTAATTCATTGTCACCAGTCATGGTTGAAATATTCCTTTCAGAAAATGCAAAATTGTGGTTGGAAGATACTGTTTGAGGCAGGCTCTTATGACGTATAACTTGCGATGTTGAAACGAAGAAGGACATTTCTCGACAAACACACTTCACCCAATGCGAGACACATTCAACATATCAGGGATGAAAAATACCAAGATCCTATCACCTTTTACATAGTCAATATTGCCCAAGTACACGTTCCTAATTTATTCCAAATGTGGTTTTTCC